GTAGTCTGTGCCTGCAGTGGGGGAAGGGTATGAGGAGAGGTAGGTGGCCCCTGAGGACCCTGCAGAGCTCTGGAACCCCCACCCTACCCTTTACTCTGGAGGAGGCTGAGTAAAATGGATTTCCTGAGACCATAGGAAGACATCAATGTGTCCTTGTGTAAAGCTGTGGACTACAGGCCTTTGGACACTTGGGAGGTGGGGCTGGTATGACAGCATCATCGCCACCCGCGCCTCGGTTAGGTCCACCTTCTGAGTCATGGACCCCGAGGCAGCCGACTGAGTGCAAGGATGCTCATACACAAAGCTACAGTGGCCTGTGGCCCGAGATCTGCCATTGAGTCCTTGGAGGGCTTTTAACGTCTTTGTTGATTGCAGGGTGAATGATACGGGTGGTATAAGATCTTGTAAAGTTGACCAGGTGTCTGCCCCTCTTAGATCCTCAGGTCAGCCCTTGGCAGAGAACACGGGCCAAGTGCTCTGCCCAGGTCACATGGCTGGGAGAGGACTTCAAGGCTCTAGGTCTTCTTTTGTTCTTAGACTGGCTGTTTCTGTGCTTTAGCCCTCTTTTATGCCTCTTTAGTCCTGGAAGAGGCCTTTTAGCTGGGGCTAGACCCTCGTGCTGAAGCAGGAGTCTCCGTCCTTCCTCCTGCTGTGGGTCTTGCTCCATAGATCCCACTGAAGCTCTGAAGCTCTGTTCTCTTCTCCTCTCTCCTCCCTTCCCCATGCTGCAGTTCATGCTGTGGAGAGTAAGTGGCCCTGCCCCCAGGGACGCCCTCCCCCCACTTCCAAAGCAGCTTGCCCTCTTGGAATGTGGGGAAGTTTGGATGGGTCTGGGATAGAACCTTCTCTGACCCTGCTGCTGGGTGACTTTCTCCTGGGATGGGCCTTTGACGTGGGGTTTCTAACAGTGGGCAATTGGGATTTGAAGGCGAGAAGAAGCTGCTGGTTCAAAAATCCCATTGGGGAATTTTGAGGGTAGAATCAAGGGGGTCCCAATTCACGTTGGGGTTAGTGAGAGACCTGTCCGTGGGTGTTGTTCCCTGAGATAAAAGCCTGGCCTGGAAATCTGTGTTCTTGTCCACCCCAGTGGGAGGCTAGGAACCCTTACCCAGGTCCAGGGCAAGACCCTGGCCAGCTCTGCTTAAGCAGGCTCAGGGTTACCAGACTTCGGGAGACTGAGGGTCAGAGGACAGCTAGGAGCATCATACCCCACAGGGTCCTGCCTGCCTGGTGACTGCTGTCTTCTTCTTTCCTAGTTCACGACTTGCAGAGCTTCGGCCTTGACAATGTACGTACCAGGCGGAAACCATGGAGGGTGGGCGGCAAGAGACAGACTGGGCTCTGCTCATGTCTGAAATGGGGAGAAATCAGTCTCCGTGTTCTGCTGGTGTTCAGACTCAGGGCAGAGACGGTTGGACAGGTGCATTCTCAACAGAAGGGAGCTCAGAGCAAAGCCAGGACAGAGTGTGACATTTCTAGGAAGCCACCAGAGTGGATAGAGATGGTCAAGGATGGCAGAGTTGGCAGAGCCAAGGCCTTGGGACTGGAGCCACACTGAGGAGTTTGCCTTTTCAGAAGAGGGAATGCTAGCCAGGCATCGGTGGCGCGTGCCTTTAATCCCAGCACTCGGGAGGCAGAGGCAGGCCTGGTCTACAGAGTGAGTTCCAGGACAGCCTCCAAAGCCACAGAGAAACCCTGTCTCGAAAAACCAAAAAAAAAAAAAGAAGAAGAAGAGGAGGGAATGCTGTTGCCTTACCTTAACCAGGGGGTGACATAGATTTACATTCCTAACTGTCCCTCAAGGAAACTGGCTTAGACCTTCATCCCTTGAGGTGTCTAGACAGGACTAGTGTCACCGTGCACTCTGTGGCTGGTTGAAGCTGTACCTTAAACCCTGAAGCCCAGAAACCTGTGGACTGAGGAGGGATCCCTAAGTGAAAACAAGTGCCTGGTACAGGCACTTCTGTTAAAACCATGGCCTCTCCCATACAGGGCCCCTTCCCTCATCCCTCCCTCTTCCCACCTGCACTCACATTCTCAGGAAACACTGCTACTCTAGACAGTTTTGTGTGGGTCGTGTGCTGTCGGGCCTCAGACATTGATATTGCTTGCAGATCAACATGACTCACTACATCAAGCACCTGTCATTCGGGGAGGACTATCCAGGCATTGTGAACCCCCTGGACCACACCAATGTCACTGCACCCCAAGGTACCATCCTGGGAGGTAGCCCCCTCTACCACTGAAGCCCTTCCTGGCACCCATGCCCCGTGCTTCCTTCTGCTTACAGCCTCCATGATGTTCCAGTACTTTGTGAAGGTGGTCCCCACAGTGTACATGAAAGTGGATGGGGAGGTGAGTGGGTAGCGCTGTCTAGTCCCAGCTTGTTGCCGAGCACCTGAAGTCCTTCGTGTCATTCCTCTGGCCTGGGTCTTCCTGCTTCCCACACTGCCTCCACACAGTCCTTGGGTGCTTACTGACCCCCATTGTCTGTGCTGGCCTGGGGTTGGCTAAGCCAAGCCTCCTTGGGCCTGCTGTGCTCTGTGGTCTGTGGAACAGCCTGTCTTTGGGGTGATGTGACAGGGCTGAGAGGCAAGGACGTGAGTCCCAGCTTTAGGGTGCTGCCTGCAAGAGTTTTTTCTCATCCCTGACCACCAGTGAAAGTACCCATCAGATGTAGCTAGGACAGGTAAAATGTTAGGACAGTGACTGGAAGGGAAACCAGGGTTGTCAGAGGGGTCTGGGTGGTCCCCAGGCCTTGCGTTGCTAGTTACCAACATTCTTCACAGCCTTACAAGGGGCGGGGCTCAGAACAGCCCTGAGCCAGGTTATAAACCTCTCTGCCTCTGGTTCCCTTCCTACTGCAGGTGCTGAGGACAAACCAGTTCTCTGTGACCAGGCACGAGAAGGTTGCCAATGGACTGCTGGGTGACCAGGGCCTGCCAGGAGTCTTTGTGCTCTATGAACTCTCACCCATGATGGTGAAGCTAACAGAAAAACACAGGTGAGGGTAGGGAGTGGGAGAGGCCAAGGCTCTGGGCCTGTGAGAATAGGGTGCCTACCGAGCTCTGGGCCTGTGAGAACAGGGTGCCTACCCAGCTGTCCTGTGCCCTTGTAGGTCCTTCACGCACTTCCTGACAGGTGTGTGCGCCATCATTGGGGGCATGTTTACAGGTAAGTACCAGGGTGCCTGTTTGGGGAGTGGGTGCTCCAGACTTCCCCATGCTGTGGATTTGGACAGGTGTTCCCCCGCTGAGTGGCACCCTTAGCAATGCCCCAGGCTTTGGTTTGGGATGACAGGCACCTTAAGGACCAAGGAAATGCTAGCCTGGCCTGTTAGACAGCAGGGCAGGGTCCACGTGAGGGTCCAGCGCTAGCCTGCTCTCTTCCCCAGTCCACGTGAGGGCCCAGCGCTAGCCTGCTCTCTTCCCCAGTCCACGTGAGGGCCCAGCGCTAGCCTGCTCTCTTTCCCCAGTGGCTGGACTCATCGACTCGCTCATCTACCACTCTGCCCGAGCCATCCAGAAGAAAATCGATCTAGGGAAGACAACGTAGTCAACATCCTTCCTTGTCATTCTTCCTTTCCTCTGTCCCTGTGGTCATTCCCCAGCCTCTTTCACTACCCCGTATTCCTCCTCTCCAGAGTCAGCCCAGGGTGATAAACATTGTGATAGTACTGTTGGTCTCAGTGTGATTCTTGGGATCTGGCTGAAACCTAGGAACATCCCCTCATGGCCACACACTGAAGTCCATCATGACTGACAGGCCGGGCCAGCCCTTTGCGAGTCCCACATGCGCATCTCCTGTTTAATGTGGCTTCACAGTCGTGTCCTTAGTCCCTCTTCTCTGTGACTAAATGAACTTTCTAGGGTTAATATCTTGGAGCCACCATAGCTTGTGGAATAGATGACTCCAGTGCCACTATCCCAGAGCTCTGAGTCCAGGCTGGACTGTGTCACTTCTGCAGTGATGGACAGTTAAAGCAGAGGCTGCTTCCCTCAGCCTGGACAGTCATGTGATTCCCTCTGCCAAGCCCCGTAGTGTTGGCACTGAGAAAGATGACAGACCTTTACAGACTCCTAATGGAAGCAAAGCTGAAAAGCAGGGCTGGAGGAAGGCGGCACCAGTCCCGGGCTTCTTGTTAGAGCCCTTGTCTCTGTAGAGAATCATGGCCCAGAGGCCTCACTGCTCCACAGCCCAGGGAGCCAGGACAGTGGACGGCAGTCAGACCATCGGTTCATCTGCTTCCCCTAAGACCGTGGCAAGGAAGCAAAGTTCAGTAACGACAGCAGAACCTGTGGAGGGTGCCTGAGGTCCAGATGATTTGATCACCTGAGAGTTGTCAATATCTCTGAGAAACTGAGGGTGATGACCCTTTGGTCACCTGGGGACCGTTACCCTTGTTAAGCTGGGTAACCTACCCACCATCAGCCTCTGTGGTTCCAGAGGAAGATTGATTTACCCCATGCGCTTAGGAGGGTCACCATCTGAGTAGGCTAGCCATCAGGCCCCTCTGAAGGAGGGAGATTTGGAGCTGCACAGTGATCCTCCAGTTCTGGGGAGTGGGGGTGAGGCGGCTGTCTGCAATAAACTGTCTTATGCCCTCTGGGGAGCAGGGATAAGCTGGAGGCAGCAACAGCCAGTGATGCATGCCATTTAAGCCCTATAACAAGCTACCTGAAGCCAGCCAACCAAACCAATAATTTCCCTTTCTGCTTAAGCCAACTTGGCTTGAGATTTCTTTTCTTGACACTGAAAGCTTTAGCAGGCATCCTTGCTAATGGAACAAAGTGCTTAGCTGTCATGGAAGGTAGAGCCATGAGCCTCTGGCAGGAAGAGAAAGCTGGCTGGGGGGGGTGCGGGTGACACAGTCTAGTCCACTCAATCCTGGGGTCGCGTGTTCTTCCATCTCTGTGCATCCTAGCAAATCCCCAGCTCCTGGTGTTGCCTGAGAGCATTTGTCCTTTACCACCTACAAAAAACGGGTCCTGCACTGCGTGTAACTGGCAGCCCCTGCGCCTGTGGTAAGGTTTATTGACCCCAAGCACTGAATCCTTACAGCTTATGTTGGAAGGAAGGACATCCAGAACAGGGTTGAAAGGTTGGCTCCCTGAGCTGTGTCCCTGGTCCCGTGGATTAGTGTTTGTGGATGGGGCTGAAGATGACCTCGCTGATCTGTCCAGGAATGGTGTAGAAGACCAGGAGCAGGAAGACAGTGAGGAGCGCCAGCAGCAGCAGCAGCACCAGAATGTGCCAGTACCGGCGCCAGATGAAGAAGACGAAAGTCTTCAGAGGGTTCACAAACCAATTGAAGGAGGTTTTGGGACGGCTGTTGGGGAAGGGCGGAGTCACATGACCAGGAAGCCCCTGCCAGCCGCCCGGCCTCCCTAAGCACGGCTACTTACTTGGGCTTCTCCAGAGGCTCTGGCTCTTTTCTCCCCCTCCCAACTGGCCGCTTCTCTGCCTCCTCCACAGTCAGTAGTTCCATCTCTGCCTCTACCTTCCCCTAGACAGAGATGGTGGGGCCGTCAGTGGGCAGAGCCGGGCCCTGAGCCCGGCCCTGGTCAGTGCAGTACGCACCGTGAGGATGTAGACATTGCCACCCGCGTCTGTGAACTCCAGGTCCTCCAGCCGTCCCTTCCTCCTCCTCCTCTTCCGTTTCTTGTCAGCCTGAGCCTCTCGGGCCTCCCGCTCCACATCTTCCATTTCCCTCATCTTCACTACGGGCCACCAGCCCCGCAATCGCCGGCAGCGAAACAGATTGCATCTTGGCCCAGCCCCATCAAGGGCTAGTCGAACAGAACACTGCTCGGGGACGCGCGCACCCCTCACCATGTCTGGTAGCTGCAACTCGAGGGATCCTATGAGAGCAAAACTCACGAGGTTAGGGTGAGGAATCGAAGAGGCAACACCCCAGGGTTACGAAATACCAAAAGGGAAAATATATCGGTCAGGCCACAGCTGTAGACTTTGTAACCAGTCTACCCGCATGCCAGGTCCCAATCGGAGGTCCAGGACCACGCTGCTAAAGCAAGGATCGAAGGCCACAATGGGAAGCCAGAGCAACTGCGGAAGGGTCCAGGGGGAGGACTGAGCAGACCCTTGGGTAGAAAGGTTACTAGCCAGAGAGTGGTTGCCCACACCTTTAACCCCAGCATTTAGGAGGCAGATCTCTGGGGGTTGGAAGTCAGCCTGATCTACAGTGCAAGTTCCACAACAGGCTCCAAAACTACATAGGTAAACCATGTCTTGAAAAATCAAAAAGATAGACAGACAGACAAAGGAGGTTACTTTACAACACCCCCTGAACACCATGAGTAGGTAGAAAACAATGGTTCAAGCCTGGGGTCTAAAATCGACCACAAGGCTCAAAGTTGACTTCAAGTAGGAACCAAGGGACAGAGAGGAAAGGGTGGAGGGCAGGGACAAATCAAATGTAGGCTTGAGGCTAGGAAAAGCTAAGTACCAAGAAAGTCGTTGGCGGAGATTCGGTCATAGTCCCAAACCTGCAGGACCAGAACTGCTGGCTGCCGGAACTCGGCCTCCTCCAGGGCGAAGGGTCCAGGCTTGCGCCGGACGCTCACCTCCCGCTCCGTAGGCAGGTAGTCAAAGCGAAACACAAAGCGCCAATTAAAGTTGCCCTCTCCAGTCAGGGAGTTAAAGTGGACATCTGTCTCCTGCTTGTCATGCTCCAGCCCCTTTACCCAGCTGAGTAAAGAAGGACACAGCCCAGGCAAGATGGGAGTCAGGGCTGGGTCACACCCAGAACTCAGCTCTCTCTGCAGAGGGCCTGGACACAGGGTCCCCATTTACAGCTTCCCTTAGAACAACCATTTGGCAAGCCGGCCTGCAGGCCTACCTTTTCACATAGATGTCGCTTGACATCTCTCCAGTGAGTGGGTTCACATCATCCAGAACCACATCTTCCGTGTTCCAGATGACAACTCGGAGCTCATAGCTGGGGACACAGCGGTTTCCAACTGTTGAAAAGGGTCCTGGGAGTGTGCTAACCTAACACTGCAGTCCTGGTTTGGTTCCCCAGCAACTCTTAAACTGGGGTGGTGGCACACAGGGCTGTAACTCCAGCTGCTCCAGAGGTGACAGCAGGAGCACCCAGAGCTCACCCAGGCTACGTGAAACCCGGTCTCCAAACCACAACAGTCTACAATCTGCTCAGTTGCACAAGGTCTCGGGGTCAGTCTCTAGCGCACAAACATGGCAAGGTTCCGTGGTACATGCCTGTAATTCCAGCATTGGAGGGCTAGAGGCAGGAGGATGAAGAGAGTCCAAAAGTCATCCACAGCTGCATGCCTTGTTCAGGGCCAGCTGGTGCTACATGACCCTTGTCTCTAAAGACGAGGAGGGGACTGTGCAAACAGAAAGGCACTAGGTAGCTGCTGACCCCTTCCCACTACAACAAAGGCAGCACCAGGCGTGGTCTGACCCAAGCCAGTACAACGAGGTTCTGCTTCCTATAATTTGGTGTCAGAAGCCTAAAACTTTGAGTGGTTCAACATCTACCAGCTGCAGGGTTACAGCCATGATAAGCCACATGCCATGGCAGGCCACATGATGTGCAATCCACAGTTCTGGGGTATGGAAAAGTGTGAGTTGAAAAGACAACCAGAGAGAACGGTTCTGGTTCTTCCCCGATATGGCCCCATTGCTGTCGTGGGGTTGCCTGGATATCTCTTCATCCCTTCATTTATTGATTCTCTCTGGTTTTGTCTTCTTCAGATAAGGTCTCATGTAGCCCAGACTAGCCTTGACCTCTCTATGAAATAGAAGCTGACCTTTGACCTCCTGACCTCCTGCCTTTGCCTTCTGAGTACAAAGGATATAGGCACACACTACCACACCCTAGGACTCTGCCCAACCACACTATCTACATGGTTCTGGTGGGACAGGCATCTAGCCGACTCCAGGTTTGGAAGAACTACCCAGAACTGGCCAGTCTAAGGTATTCCAGCCCTGCCCATGGTGACTGAAGGGCATCTAACCCTGCCAGTCAGTGGAAGAGGCTCTGGGCTTTTGCTTTAATCGGGTTAGGTGTTTATTTCTGCTCAAGAGTCCTGGCTGCTAAGAGATGAGTCCAGCACTCTTAGAAGCTACCTTGTTCTAGACTGCAAAAGGCTCTCTGAGCAGCTAGAGTGATGACCCAGTGACTAAAAGCACTTGCTGCCACCACCGCCTAACTTGTTGCCTGGTGGCAGTAGCGCACGCCTTTAATCCCAGCACTGGGGAGTGGGGGGGTGCAGAGGCAGGCAGATCACTGTGAGTTCGAGGCCAGCCTGGTCTACATAGTGAGTTCCAGGACAGACTCCAAAGCTACACAGAGAAACCCTGTCTTGAACCCCCCCCCCAAAAAAAGAGCTCTGTTGCTCTTCCAAAGGACTCAGGCTCAGTTCCACAGTGTGACTCCCAACCATCTGTGGCTTCGGTTTCAAGGAATCTGACGCCCTCTTCTGATCTCTGCAGGCCCTAAGCATGTGACACACAGACATACATGCAGCAAGACCCACACACGTTAAGAAGAAAGAAAAGGGGTCCTAAGAGGACTACCAAGAACAGCAGAGCCCAGAGGTGGGAGGTGACGCTGCTGACAGTCGCCGAACATCTGGACCAGTGTGACACCCTCACAGACATCTGGACCAGTGTGACACCCTCACAGACATCTGGACCAGTGTGACACCCTCACAGACATCTGGACCAGTGTGACACCCTCACAGAACTGCACTTGGGCTAGCTGGGGCAGGAACAGGGCTTCCTGAAAGACATTTGGACTCTTTACGACACCCAACGCTCACTGCTATGGGGAAGAAAGTGTAATATAACTCACCTGCCCACAGGCCTAAGTCAGAAGTCTTGACCTGACTCAGTGGGAGCTCGGATTTTCAGAGAGCAGAGGAGCCAAAATCCTCTTACCTGATTGGCTGCCGAGGCTTGATGTCCACTGGGGGTGGGGCAGGCACGTCACTAGGGAAGATGTCGACCCACATGTGAAGGGAACCCTGAGAGCACAAAATCAGGCTGCAGGGACACACTAGAGAACCTCTTCTCGCCACAGCCGCATCTGGTGGCTGCCCAGGCCCAGTGGGGAGAAGGGGCAGGGGCAGGAGATGTGGGGTAGACTTGGGGGTATTCAGATGAAATGAGGGTCCCACAATCAAGGTCAGGTTTGGGTTTAGGATGGAGTGGTTCCAGAGTGAAAAACACAAGTCAAGTGTGGGGCGTGGTCTTGAGGCCACGCCTTTAGTGAGTGAGGGTGGAGGTCAGATTGGGAGTCCCCAGTCTGACTCTCAGTGGCTCAGGGTTGGGGATCCTGTAAGGACCAGAGTCAGGGATACAGGGATACAGGGATACAGCCGGTGACAGAGGTTCTCACTGACACCGGGAGCAGGGTCAGAGGCAGTGTAGTGTGTGGGCAGAGGGCTTGGGAAAATGGTCCAGAGCCTGGGGAAGTCTCGATGAGTTGTGGGAGTCTGAGGCCCCTTCACCTGCAGCAGCCCTGGGCTCCGGGGGTGGTACAGGGGCCGTGTTTCCACATGTTCAGGTACCAGCTGGATCCCAAGTCCTGGCATCTCCTGCCAACGCCGCAACACAAGCAATGCTTGGGCCTCTTCAGAAGCCTCATTTGTCCCCTTGGGATCCCTGCCATCTGAAACAAGAAGGGTGTGGACTTGGGTTCACCACAGTCCCCAGCTCTCCTCCCTCCTGGGCAGCTGAGGCTGAGCCTGATACTGCACCAAATAAAGCCTGGTGCCTACCCAGGGCCTGGTGGCTTACACCTTTAATCCCAGCAGGGCCAGGACAAGTTCCATGAGTTTGAGGCAAGTCTGGTCTACATAATGAGTTCTAGGACCTCCTTAACAACTGTGGCCCTCCCCCCCAGACAAAAAGCCTGTGGCCTGCAGCCTGGGGGAGCAAGTCCACCATTCACAAAAAGCAGGGGGCGGGGTGGGGGAGGGGTACTGCTGCTATAACTATCCCTGCTGTGAAGAGCCAGCCAGCACCTTTGCTCAGACCCTGTTTAGAGACAAGACCACCAGCCATTCGAAGTGTGAGCTCAATTCTGTAGCTACAGACTGTGTAGAGCTCTGTATCCTGTGCTCTGAGGGGGTCTAAGACCATGTTCTCCCAGCATCCAGGAACTGTGCCCTTACCCAGCCAAACTCACAAACACCCCTGGGCCTGGTGCCATCAGTGGACTCTGTGGGCACACTAGCCCGGCACCTGCTGTGCCCTGTGTCTGGTCTGCCTCCCTCATACTCCATGTGACCTGCCCAGCACAGAGGGTGTGGTACCTGAAGGCAGGGCCTCGGACGGTGTCAGGAAGACTCTGGTGCCCACCTTGACAGCCCCAGCTCGGTATTCAGGAGCAGGGAGGCCGGAGCGCTGACACAGCCCCAGCAGAATCTGAGAAGGCCGGAATGCATCGCGCCAGGCATTGTATCCATCCCTGCCGTCAGGAGAGGACCATGCCTCAGCCGGGGCAGTGTGTGGACACAACAGGCACGAGGCAGCCAGGAAACTCGGCTCAGAGAGGTCAAAAGACTTACCAGTACCAGAACCCCAAACCCAAGCTCAGAGCTTGGCTACTGAGCTAAGATGTCTTTCGAGGGGTGCGAGTTCTCCTGTAAAACTATAATTTGGATACAAGAATGGGGCTGTGGCAGCTGGGGAGGCAACTGCTCATTATGTAGAGGGCTTGTTGCATAAACATGAGGACCTGAGTTCAAATCCCCAGAGCCCACATAAAAGTTGACATGTAGGGCAAGTGTCTGTAATCCCAGCACTTCTACAGGAGATGGAGGTGGAGACAGGAGACTTTGAAAGCTCATTGGCCAGGTAGCCTGGCTCACACCCGTGAGGAGACTGCCTCACACAAGATGGAAAGAGAAGAGCAACACCCAAGTCTGTCCTCAGACCTTCACATGTGTGTTGTGGAACATGTATGCCCAGATTGTCACACATAAATGTATTCCCGCAAACACATTCAAAGTATAATAAGATTAAAAACATTTTAAATGGAAATGTAAGCTTCAGTGTGTTTGCTTCAGGAATGGGCCCTGCCGGACTCACACGTCATACTGCGAGGCTAGCCCACAGTTGGCTCTGTGGTGGCTATAAAATCTGTTTTCCAGGTCAATCCGTGTCTCCCCAATGAGGTCATCAGAGCCCACGAGGTCATGATCGAATATGGCCACCGTCAGTTCTGGCTCAGCTGGGAGGGAGATGCTCAGCTCCAGGACCCTGGCCCAGAAGGAAAGTGGCTAAGGACAGTTCCCCGCATTCGGAGGGAACCTGGGATAGCAGTGTCCAGCCCCGCACCATTACCAAAACAACTGCCGAGGCCAGAGCCTTTGGATCCCAGGACCCCCACTCCCAAGCCCAGGACCCAGCCTCACTCTCCAAAGACGGGGTGGAGTTGCTTGGGGATGTAGCGTTCCTTGGTGTCCTGCTGCTCCTTGCCAGCGCTCACTACCACATAGGGGTCTGCCTTGCCATTGGGGTCCGCAGGAGCCAGATTGGTAGCCTAGGGGAGGTGGAGTCCAAATCTAGTGGAGTCAGGAGTCAGGCTTGAAGCCTAAGGCCTTGTTGGACATGATTACAGGATTTTACGAGGTACTGGAGGTCATTTCCAGGGCTTCCTCCATGCTGGTCAAGTACTCTATTAACTGAGCCCCACCATAGCCCTGGTTACATTGCAAGAGATAAATCAGTACAGGCCATCTGCAGTATGAGGTGTGTTTAAAACTCACTGGGGAATCAGAGAAGCAGGGAGCATTAGGCCCTGTCTCCCCCAGCCAGCAGCCGTTGCCTATCTGGTGTTAACACTTCAGCCAAGGGTTGAAAAGTTGGAAAAATCTCCAATGTGACTCAGCCTATAGGATGGGCCAATGGGAACATTATGCTGCCCTAAAGAATTCAGCCAGTAAGAGGCTCGGGGTGGGGGACAAAGTGCTGGGAATCTGAAAGTCTTCATCTTGCACAGCGAGCACTTTACCTACCGAGCCATCTCCCAGCCCTATTCACTCTTGAGACAGAATCTCATGTAGCCCAGGCTGCCCTCAAACCTGCTTTGTGGATGAGGATGACTTTGAACTCCTGACCTTCTTGCCTTCACCTCCTGCATGCTGTTGGGATTACAGGTGTGCACACTTGCTTTGCATGATTCTGGGAATTAAATCCAGGTCTTGGTATATGCTGGGAATGCACTCTACCAGCAGAGCTATGTCTCCAGTCTTGGGCTGGTCTTGAACTACAGTCCTTCTATCTTGGCGTCCTAAGCAGCTGGGATTACAGGTCTGCCCTACCAGACCCAGCTCGAGTTGTTTTTGTGTGCTGTGTCTGTGAGGGCATTCGTGTGTGCATGTGTGTGGAGGTCGAAGGGTGACCCCACAGCCTCAGATGTTCCTCAGAGTCCATCTTTTTTTTTTTTTTTTTTTTTTTTTTTTCTGAGACAGCCTCTCTCACTGGATTGGAACTTGCCGAGTAGCTAAGTTGGCAGACCAGTGAACCCTAGCGACCTCTCTCCACCTCTCCAGCCCTGGGATTACTGACATGAGCGGCCACACCCAATTTGTTTGGCCCTTTTTGTTTGCTTCCTTGTTTTGGATTGGTTGCCTTTTTTGGCTTGGTAAGGGTTTTTGTTTTAATTTTATATGTATGAGTGTTGTGCCTGCTTCAGGCAGGGGCTGAGAGAGAGCCTTGGATCCCCTGGAACTGGAGTTACAGATGCTTGTGAGCTGCTGTGTGGGTGCTGGAATCCAACCTCAGGCCTTTGGAAGAACGGCCAGTGCTCATAACTACTGATCTCCTCTCAGGCCCTGGTTGGTATTTTGATCCTCCTGCCTCCACTTACCAAATTTTGAGATTACTGATATGCACTACACCCAGTTATGGTTGGGATTTGTTTGTTTGTTTGTTTGGTCCCACTATGTAGCCCAGGCTGACCTGAAGCTCATTATATGTAGTCAAGGCTGGCCTGGAATTCACAATAATCTTTCTGTCTCAGCTTCCTGAGAGCTGAGATTACAGATATGATCCTAAAATTGCTGCCTCCTCAGCCTAGTACTGGGGATGGAACTCAAGGCCTTGAGCAATACTTTGGCTCAAGTGTTCTGAGCAGCTGGGCTTTAATCCCAGCCTTTAATTCCAGCACTTGGGAGGCACAGGCAGACAGACTTCTGTGAGTTTGAGGCCAGCCTGGTCTACAGAGCAAGTTCCAGGACAGCCAGGGCTATGCAGAGAAACCCTGTCATGATAAACAAACAAACAAAAAAGTGTTCTAGGCCAAAGCTGGGCTCTCAGAACTGAGTTTTCTGGATTACACAGGTAATATAAATTCTAGTCCTAAATCGATGTGGGAGGTCACACTAAAGACAAATTCCCCAGGAAGACACTGTTTCCCTGAAACAGCCTCCCTTCCCAGCGGGCAAGCTGCTTCTCAGACTCTCTCAAGGAGGTCCTGCTCCATGTAGGGTCTTGTTTCCAGACCCTTTGCTTGTCAGACTCTAAGAACTCAAGGTCAAGGCCCAGGTGTTGACAAACTGAGCTGAGCGCTGAGAGCATGGCCATTTTGGAATTACTGTTCCCACTTCCTCACTCGGGGAACAGGGACACTTCCTTTCTTCAGAGCTTTGTGTTCATAAAAACAGACTTTGTCTAACATGTCTAGATGTATTACAAAAAAATTTATCTCGGAGCACCCTGCCTGCCATATTGCTAGAACACATAGTCAAGATGAGTCCCACTACCTAGCATTACCCTAGGAGGGTCAGATGCTGATGTGCAATGTCTCTTCCAGTGATGTCTTAAAGCCCTAAGTCAGGTCCAGCATCTGATTCGGTGATAGGGACAGAGAGACAGAGAGACAGAGAGACAGAGGGACAGAGAGACAGAGAGACAGAGCATCCTGCTCATTCCCTGTTTCTCCCCAAGACTCCTTTAAGAAAACTGCAGGACTCTGCTAGTCTCTGCACAACAGACATAGCAATGGAAGGAACTACAGGGTATTTGACAAAAGACATTCAGGAATTAGGGATCCTCCACTACAGACCAAAAGCGTGCATAAGGCCTGCCACAGGCAACCTTTGTGAGGAGAGGAGTCTAATCACACCCAAGATTTCTACTTAAACCCAGAGGAGCCTTTGAGAGCCTTCGTTCTGTAGACGTCATGCTGTTGCCTCTGCTGCCATGGGGATGAGCCAGAGACTAAGGATACTCACTTTCACTACATACACTCTAACCAGAAGCTTGATGGGCCGGTTCTGGGGGATCCCCCTGGAGATCCGGGGCTCAGAGAATGATGCTGCCTCTGACTCAGGATAAATGAGGAGGGAGCCCTGAGGTGGGGGAGACAGGAAAGGACTTGGTAAGAAAGGTATTTTGTTTGCTTTAAATTACATTAGATTTACTTTATGTGTGAGTGTTTTGCCTACATGTATGTCTGTGTGAGGCTGGTTCTGGAGAAGGTCAGCAGTGGGTGTCAGATTCCCCGAAACTGGAGTTAGGGGTGTTTGTGAACCACGCTGTGGCACTGGGAATGGAACCGTGGTCCCCTGCAAGATCATCCTGTGTTCTTAACTGCTGAGCCTCCTCCTCTCAGCCTGTATGAAGGTGTTACCAGTCCCTCGTAATTCCCCATTCTCCCCCCAAGTATACCTTGAATTTTCCCACCAAGTGTCCAGAACCTTCCTCGCCATCTCCAGCCTGGCCGCCCTGCCCTCTGTACAGGGGGAACACATTCAGCCAGTCCTCAAAGTGGTTAAACTCCTCCTCTAGGGGGCTGTTGTAGATCTGAAAGGGGAGGGGTCTCAGTGGCAACGCTGCACCCCGAATCCAAGGGGCCCCCTTCTTCCAACGCCCCATCACCTTCAAGGTGGCGATTGCTTTCTTCCGAGGTCCAGACACTTTGACACCAGTTCTTCCCTGCTCCTGGGCCTCCCTGTCCCCAGAAACGAGGTAGGTCCCGCCTGGAAACAGCAGAAGTGGTCCAGGTAAGAAATGTGGGGACAGGATTAGGTGGAGAGATGGAGCAAGAACAAAAAGTCAGGACTCTCACCTGGGTCCCCAGCATCCTCCATCTCGTCCTCATCGAAGTTGGACTGAAATTAAAGACAGGTCGGAGACAGCCTCTCCCACTCCCCTCCTTGGCCCACGCCCTTCTCCAGCTCTATATCCACTTCTTTTTTAAAAGTTGCCTCTACTATCTAGCTCTATGCTATTGATGTCACCACCACCCACATAGGTCACTGAGCCCTTGAAGTGAGGTCAGTCTGCACCGTGAGGTGCTGTGAGTTGGAACACACAGCAGACTTACTGTGAGAATGTAACATAGCTTATTATTAATTTTTATGATAATTACTGGTTGTATACTTTAATAAAAATCATCAAAATTATTCTCATTTGTTCCCTTTCACTTTTTAGATGTGGCTATTAATAAGAATTAAAATTAAAAAAAAATTTGAGACAGAGTCTCATGTTGCTATAAGCTGGCTTTGAACTCCTGATCCTTCTGTTACCACCTCCCAGGTGCTCACTGGAGAGATGTGTGTCACCATACACAAGTTTAAGAGCTAAAATTCTACACTCATGCTTTTTGTTTCAGAGACAAGTCTCACTGTGTATCCCCTGCCTGTTATATACACCAGGCTGGCCTCGAACTCGCAGGGATCGATTGAGTGCAGGGATTAAAACTGTGCACAACCATGCTGGCCTCGTGTTCTACTGTATTAGACAACAGAGCGTTGGGAGGCAAAAGTACTAATGTCCAACTACTAAAATCGTAGTATGGAGGAGAAAAGATGGCTGCAATAAAGAGCTCTGGAACACACAGCGTCTGTTTGATGAGACTTCCCACCTCCTTGCCTTTGTCTCCCAGTTCCTGCCCTAGGCTGTGCTCCGCCTACCTGCCGCTGGAGCCCCACCCACCTGCCCTGGAGCCCCACCCACCTGCCCTGGAGCCCCACCCACCTGCCCTGGAGCTCCACCCACCTGCCCTGGAGCTCCACCCACCTGCCCTGGAGCCCCACCCACCTGCCCTGGAGCTCCACCCACCTGCCACTGGAGCCCCACCCACCTGCCCTGGAGCTCCACCCACCTGCCACTGGAGCTCCACCCACCGCCCTGGAACTCTACCCACCTGCTACTGAAGCCCCACCCACCTGCCGCTGAAGCCCCACCCACCTGCCCCTGGAGCTCCTGCAGTGAGGCATAGTACTTGGACCACCAGTCCATCTCTTCTGGGTCTGGGATGTCCTCCTCCAGCTCAGGGCCTTGACCCAGGAGCCCTAAGGTAAGCTTCTTCAGAGGAGCCTGAGGAAGAGAGGACCTTGTTGCTCTCAGCCAGCACCACCACAAACCCTGGCATCCCCCTCTCCAGCCTCGGGAACACCCCATCACCTTCAGGAGGCGGCTGGACAGTCCTGCTTCAGCCACGGAGGGGTCCCCAGACTGCTCTCCTGGAAGTGGGAAGTGATCCCATGAGTTGAGGTCAGTAGAGTCGGACTGCAGGCCCCACTGGGGCCGTCTCTACCAGGGTCCGGAGGGGCACCAACGGAGAAGACTCCTCACCTTGAGGTCCCTTTGGCATCAGATCTCTTGTATCCTCCTCTATTTCCTCCTCCTTAGAGGGACCCGCATGCCCCTGGAGTGTGAATCGCAGCATGTGGGGGACGATATGGGAACCCACAAGGACAGTTCGGCCAAAGGCCCGGCGTTCGATCACCAGCATGCTGAGTGGGGGCTGCAGGTATGGCTGTTCTGGTAAGTCCTAAGGAGGAGAAGACAGGAAGTAGCTCCAAACCCCGGGGAAGGAGGAAAGGAGCACAAAGTCGGTGGGGAACAAGGTATTCTGGGCTCAGATCTGCCACACTGTCAGTCATTACGGCTTTCCGACTCTGTGCCCCTGCTGAAGAAGGGCACAGCCCTGGACTCAACAGACTGCTCTAAGCATGGCGACACAACTGATACAAAGGAGCTTCGGCACCTACAAAGTACGACCAGAAACCCGGGCAAGCATTGTTCTTACAGGACAAAAGCTCAACCTCCAGAGAGAGCGTCAGAACCATTCAAATATGTATTGACCTGGAGCAAGTGATTCCCCATCTGTCCCTGGCACCCCAGAAGGATGAGACAGTGATTACACCACTAGATCATTGGCTCACCTATTATATACAAAGAGGAGGAGACTAGAGTTGCGCCAGAGAAAAACATTTACCTTTCCCTGGTAAATTATTAGTTTTTAATAAGATGCTATGTAGCCCTGGCTGGCCTGGAACTTGCTACATAGACCAGACTAGCTTCAGAATTGCTATGATTCTCCTGCGGCTGCCTTCTGAATTCTGGGATTACAGAAGTGTGCCACTATGTCCTAAATATGAGAAATAATCATAGCTGGGCGTGGTGGCACACACCATGATTCCCTGTACTCAGGAGGCAGAGACTGGTGGATCTCTGAATCTTTGTGAGTTTGAGGCCAGCCCGGTCTATATAGTGAGTTCCAGGACAGCCAGAGCTTCATAGTGAGATCCTGTCTCAAAAAACAATGAGTAATACTTTGAAGTAAATCGTGAAAAATCAGTATTCACACCTAGACTTCCCTAGGAAAAGTGTCTCAGTGAGGGACTATCTATATAATTACTAGAGACAATGAGAACCATTCTACAGTGGCACGTTGGAAGCTAAAACAACTGTAAACAGATACGCACCTAGCAACAGAATTCAAAATAAAGTAAAATGTGACAGATAAGGCCGGGGGCACTGGCCAAGAAGTGCCGTGCATGTCTAGCATGTGCTATTCACAGGATTCAATACTCAGAGCTGGAGAAACACAGAAAACAGCTTGAGATTTCAATGCCCTAATACTGATAATGGATAGGATAACTAGATAGAAAACAATGAAGTTTTGTTCAAGAGGTGAGAAACACTATGAAGCAACTTGACCCGACTGAGCTCAACAAGAGGGTACATTCATCCCAGATGCTCAATGGAAAAGTGTGGGTCACCCCATCTGAACCTTGGAACAAGTGATGAAAGGGAACCCCTTAGTATAGTCTGAATGTATATGTTCCTATAAACACATCACTCAGAGGGAACATAAGGTGACAGTATTAAAACAGGGTCTTTGATGCCCAAGGTGTGGTGGCACACACCTGCAATCCCAGTATTTGGGAGTCATGGGATACATGACAAGTTTGAGGTCACTTTGAGCTACACAGTGGGTCCTTGCCTCTAAAGGTCAGACATAGGATTGTTTGGTTATGTGTTTAATTTTTGCAGTTCCTTATATTTCCTAGATATTAACCCCAATCTTAAGTAGATAATTTGCAAAAAGAAAAAAAAAAGAAAAGAAACAAATGCACTCGGGAGGCAGAGGTAGGAGGATCTCTGTGAGTTCAAGGCCAGCCTGGTCTACATAGAGAGTTCCAGGACAGCTAGGTCTAAACAGAGAAACCCTGTCTTGAAAACCCAAAAATAAATAAATAAAACGTGGGTGGGTATTTTGCCTGCATGAATGTCTGTGTACCATGTGCATGCAGTGCCCAAAGAGGCCAGGAGAGGGCACTGGATTCCCTAGAACTGGAGTCATACACAATTGTGAGTCCCCATGTGGGTGCTGGGAATTGAATCCAGGTCCTGTGAAAGAGTAGCCAATGCTCTTAATTGCTTAGCCATCCCTGCAACCTCACAACAGATATTTTTAAAGTGTTCAACATCCTTAGCCATTTAGGAAACACAAATTAAAACTACTTTGAAATTTCCATCTCTCCCCAGTCAGAATGGTTATCTTCAAGAAAACATGTAAGAGAAGTAGTTCAGCACGTAACTGCCATGACTGAAGAACTAAATCCAGTCCGAACTGTCCCCGTGGTGGAGGGAAGAAGTGACCCCTGCAGCTTGTCCTCTGACCTGCACACCTGGCCATGTGTTCGAGGACAATGCATACGTGGGATCACAATTTAAAATGTAATAAATTTTAAAAAAGAAGTAACGAGAAATGTTGGCAAGGAAGTGGGGAAAGAGGAACCCTTACTTAATGCTGGTAGGAGTGTAAATGGGTGCAGCATCTATGGAAGTCAGAATGGAGATTTATCAAAAAGCTAAAAAGGACTGGCAAATGACTCAGGGCAAAGCACTTGAGGGCAAGTCTGATGACTGAGACCCATGTGAAGGTGGGAAGGGGGAACTGGCCTCTCAAAGTTGTCTTCTGACCTCCACAGGGGACAGAGGGGAGGGAAGTTCTGCTTTGGAAGATCTAAGGTTCCAGGCCAGCCTGGGCTGCATAATAAGACCTTGGCTCAAACAATAAAAAGCAAAAAGAGGATAAAATAACGGAATCTCAGATAATACAAATGATTTGTCTGAACACCTTAGCAGACACATTTAATCCCAGCACTTAGGAGGCAGAGGCAGAAGGATCTTCATGAGTTCAAGGCCAGCCTGTCCATATAGTGAGTTCCAGGTCACTGAGGCTACCATGTCTCAAAATAAAAAACAAAATCAGGAGGACAGATGATTTGGCCAGACCCTAAATTGTATTGGCAGAATTTGACCCCCAAATCCATTCAGCCACAACTGAAACTCCACAAGGGTTAGGAAGCAGCTCCGTGGTGTGGTACCAGTCTCCATGTGTAAGGCCTCGGGGCTGCAGCACCTGGCCCCTCAAAAATCATTAGTCTTATTCATTTATAAAAATATACCATATTCTCACATTTTAAATATGTATTTTATTTTAATTGTGCGTGTGTGCTCGTGTGTCTTTGTGGGGGTATGTACAGAGTACAGGTGCCTGCAGAGGCCAGAAGTCTAAGAGGCTGGAGCTCGACCCGATGTGGCTCGGAAGAGCTGTGCTGGCTCTCAGTGGCCCAGCCCTCTCTGAAGCCCCGTACTGTGTTTTCCACATCATCCCCTGTGTTTCAGAGACTGGATAATTCTCATGTTTTTGATCGTTCAGGACTCTGGCTAATGCCTCCCATTCAACAGAGCCGAGGGAATGCCGCCAGTCTATAGATTAATCCAGGTCAGGGAACTACAGCCATGACTCATGTACCTACCACTGCCAGTTTTTATAAGTTTTATCAGAGCACAGCCATATTCCTTTCTACTCTGTCTATTGCTGCTCTCATCACAGGAGCAAAGTTGAACGGTTGAAGATGAGAGTCCAGAACATTTGGTCTTTGATGGAGATGCTGCTCCTGAATCAGTCATGTAGCCAGCGGAAGTTCACTACCTACGTCCCCTTCACTCCTCTGCCCGCAGCCTGGCCAGCGGAAGTTCACTACCTACGTCCCCTTCACTCCTCTGCCCACAGCCTGGCCAGCGGAAGTTCACTACCTACGCCCCTTTCACTCCTCTGCCCACAGCCTGGCCAGCGGAAGCTCACTACCTACGCCCCCTTCACTCCTCTGCCCACAGCCTGTGTCCTGCCCGCCCCCCTTACCACGGTCACATGCTGGACAAGCTCTGTGAAGTTAGGGTTCTCGCGGTAGCTGGTCAGAACTTCAGACTCCACACGTCTCCCAGCCACTTCCAGGACAACCTGGGGCCTTTCCACCTCAAACAGGTGTACACGGCCCAGGCCTCTCAGACCCCAGAACAGCACCTAGGGTTGGGAAGGGGGAGATTCAAGGGCTGGAAGCTGACAGGGCACCACCCGATTGGGGAAAGGGAAGAGGTCTTGAGTGCTTGTCGTTACCTCAATACGGAACTCCCTGAGCACAGGGCGCACATTAGGAGGCAGGCTCAGGTGTCCAGAGACAGGCTGAACCAGAGATGCCAGATCCTGGGGCTCCACATCACTAGGCACTGTGGGCTACAAGAAGAAATAAATTAGATTCATGCCGAAACAGAGAAAGCCTAGGCTTGGAGATGGACTATGGGTTTCTGTGGTGGCCCCTAATGGGAGATATGACCTTGTTGGAGTAGGTGGGACCTTGGTGGAGGGAGTGTGTCCCTGTGGGGGTGGGCTTTGAATTCTCCTATGCGAAAGCTACACACAGTGAAACAGTTCACTTCCTGTTGCCTGTGAGTCAAGGTGTAAGGACTCAGCACCAGCACTATGTTAGCCTGCATGCCGCCATGTCCCACCACGATGATAATGGACTAAATTCCTGAAACTCTAAGGTACCCACTAAATGTTTTCCTTTATAAGAGTTGCCGTGGTCATATTGTCTCTTCACAACACTAAAATCCCTGATTAAGACAGTTTCTGTGAAGTACAAATCAAGGGAGCCAGACAACACTGAGTGTATAGGAAAGATTTTCCAGAAAGCAGTTGTGTGTACAGAAAGCAGATGTGTGTACAGAAAGCAGATGTGAGTGTACAGAAAGCAGATGTGTGTACAGAAAGCAGATGTGTGTACAGAAAGCAGATGTGTGTACAGAAAGCAGATGTGTGTACAGAAAGCAGATGTGTGTGTACAGAAAGCAGATGTGTGTACAGAAAGCAGATGTGTCTGTACAGAAAGCAGATGAGTGTGTACAGAAAGCAGATGCGTGTGTACAGAAAGCAGATGAGTGTGTACAGAAAGCAGATGTGTGTACAGAAAGCAGATGCGTGTGTACAGAAAGCAGATGCGTGTGTACAGAAAGCAGATGCGTGTACAGAAAGCAGATGCGTGTACAGAAAGCAGATGTGTGTGTACAGAAAGCAGACGTGTGTGTACAGAAAGCAGATGTGTGTACAGAAAGCAGATGCATGTGTACAGAAAGCAGATGTGTGTACAGAAAGCAGATGAGTGTGTACAGAAAGCAGATGTGTGTGTACAGAAAGCAGATGTGTGTGTACAGATAGCAGATGAGTGTGTACAGAAAGCAGATGTGTGTACAGAAAGCAGATGTGTGTGTACAGAAAGCAGATGTGTGTACAGAAAGCAGATGTGTGTGTACAGAAAGCAGATGTGTGTGTACAGAAAGCAGATGTGTGTGTACAGAAAGCAGATGTGTGTACAGAAAGCAGATGTGTGTACAGAAAGCAGATGTGTCTGTACAGAAAACACATGTGCGTACAGAAAGCAGATGTGCGTACAGAAAACAGATGAGTGTGTACAGAGAGCAGATGTGTGTACAGAAAGCAGATGTGTGTACAGAAAGCAGATGTGTGTACAGAAAGCAGATGTGTGTGTACAGAGAGCAGATGCGTGTGTACAGAAAGCAGATGTGTGTACAGAAAGCAGATGTGTGTGTACAGAAAGCAGATGTGTGTACAGAAAGCAGATGTGGGTACAGAGGGCAGATGTGTGTACAGAGAGCAGATGCGTGTGTACAGAAAGCAGATGTGTGTACAGAAAGCAGATGTGTGTGTACAGAAAGCAGATGTGTGTACAGAAAGCAGATGTGTGTACAGAAAGCAGATGTGTGTGTACAGAAAGCAGATGTGTGTGTACAGAAAGCAGATGTGTGCACAGAAAGCAGATGCGTGTGTACAGAAAGCAGATGTGTGTACAGAAAGCAGATGTGTGTGTACAGAAAGCAGATGAGTGTGTACAGAAAGCAGATGCGTGTGTACAGAAAGCAGATGCGTGTACAGAAAGTAGATGTGTGTACAGAAAGCAGATGAGTGTGTACAGAAAGCAGATGCGTGTACAGAAAGCAGATGCATGTGTATAGAAAACAGATGTGTGTGTATAGAAAGCAGATGTGTGTGTACAGAAAGCAGATGTGTGTACAGAGAGCACATGTGTGTACAGAGAGCAGATGTGTGTGTACAGAAAGCAGATGTGTGTACAGAAAGCAGATGTGTGTACAGAAAGCAGATGTGTGTGTACAGAAAGCAGATGTGTGTGTACAGAAAGCAGATGTGTGTACAGAAAACAGATGTGTGTGTACAGAAAGCAGATGTGTGTGTACAGAAAGCAGACATGTGTACAGAAAGCAGATGTGTGTGTACAGAAAGCAGATGTGTGTGTACAGAAAGCAGATGTGTGTACAGAAAGCAGATGTGTGTGTACAGAAAGCAGACATGTGTACAGAAAGCAGACATGTGTACAGAAAGCAGATGTGTGTACAGAAAGCAGATGTGTGTACAGAAAGCAGATGTGTGTGTACAGAAAGCAGATGTGTGTGTACAGAAAGCAGATGAGTGTGTACAGAAAGCAGATGTGTGTGTACAGAAAGCAGATGTGTGTGTACAGAGAGCAGATGTGTGTGTACAGAGAGCAGATGTGTGTACAGAAAGCAGATGTGTGTGTACAGAAAGCAGATGTGTGTACAGAAAGCAGATGTGTGTACAGAAAGCAGATGTGTGTACAGAAAGCAGACATGTGTACAGAAAGCAGACGTGTGTACAGAAAGCAGATGTGTGTACAGAAAGCAGATGTGTGTGTACAGAAAGCAGATGTGTGTACAGAAAGCAGATGCGTGTGTACAGAAAGCAGATGCGTGTACAGAAAGCAGATGTGTGTACAGAAAGCAGATGTGTGTGTGTACAGAAAGCAGATGCATGTGTACAGAAAGCAGATGTGTGTACAGAAAGCAGATGTGTGTGTACAGAAAGCAGATGCGTGTACAGAAAGCAGTGTGGACTGCCAGAGAATCTGGGAAACAGGTAGGACCCTAAGAGAAATTGCATGGTACCCCAGAGTAGGTGGAATGAGGCACGATCTCCTGAGAAGATTGGGAACATGGACGGGAGGGGAGTGAAAGTCAGGAAAAGGATAGGGGGAGAAGAGGAAGGGAGGGGAAGACATGGGGGAGCAGGAAGATTGAGTTGGGGGAAGAATAGAGGAGAGCAGGATACCATAATAGAGAGAGTCATTCTAGGTTTGAGGAGAGATCTGTCACTAGTGAGATCTCCAGAGATCTACAGGGATCACACTGGAACCCAGTGACAGAGAAGAAGGAGTGGTGAGCAAAGGGGTCAAGACTGGGCTGGTGAAACCCACAAAGACAGCTGACCTGAACAAGGGGGAGATCTTGGATCCCAGACCGATGGTTGAAAGGCCAGCATGGGGCTGACCCAGACCCCTTGAATGTGGGTGTCAGTGAGGAGGCCTAGACAATCTATGGGGCTTTGGGTGTAGATCAGGATTTATCCCTGGCACACAAATGGACTTTGGGCACCCATCCCTCAATGAGGGATGCTCTCTCAATCTGGACACTTGGGAGAGGGCCTTGGCCCTCCCCAGAACAAAATGGCAGACTCTAGAGATCCCCCATGGAGGGCCTTACCCTCCCTGGGGAACAGAGTGGGGATTGGGTGGGAGGCTGGGGGGCTGGTTGGGAGGAGCGGGCATGGAGGGGACGGAGAGGGAGCTGGATCTGACATGTGAAGAAAGTTGTTTCTAATTTCAATACATAATAAAAATTAAAAAAAGAGAGAATGAAAAAAAGAAAGAAAGCAGTGTGGAGGCCTGAGGCATTCACGAGAGGTAAACCCAGGATGAACAGCAGTCTGGGTTCTCTAGGGTAGAATCCTGGCAAGATGAACCTCAGATGTGTTCATCTGTTATTCTGGGGTTAAGGTGTACAATAAGGTCACCCTAAGATAACCCTGCAGCCAGCATTGTCTTGGGTAAGAGACAGGCAGTTATCCTTGGGGCACCCTGAGTCTGCATAGCCTGATGAGTAAGAATGGATACAGATGCGGTGGCGCACGCCTTTATCCCAGCACTCGGGAGGCAGAGACAGGTAGATAGATCTCTATGAGTTCGAGACCAGCCCGGTCTACAAGAGCTAGTTCCAGGACAGCCTCCAAAGCCACAGAGAAACCCTGCCTCAAACAAACAAACAAACAAACAAAAAGAATGGATACAGCCTGCTAGCCAGGCCAGAGAACTCTAACCTCGAGGTGGCCACTGTAGTCCATCTCAATGAGTTCAAAGGTAGCAATGACTTCTCCAGCAGCCTGTGACCCCTTCCTCAGGGGGAAGAACTGCAGCTCTGGGCGCTGATATGGGTCTTCTATCAGCTTTACCCTTGGGGCTGCAAGTGCCCTGCCCAGGAACACAGCAGGGCCCTGTGGAGGCAAAGCGCTGAGGAAATAAGGATGCTGTAACTGCTTGTGGTGCTACATGTTTAACCCCAGAACTTAGGAAACAGAAAGGACAGCCTCTGTGAGTTCCAGGCCAGCCAGGACTACATAGTGAGACCCTGTCTCAAAGGCAAACGGGAGAGGGGGTGCTCAGAAGCTGAGGGGAGGACTCAAGACAGTAGGGAAGAGGAGACTGGAGACCGGGTGGAGGGAGGGACACACTTACAAACTTATTGTGGTCAAAGACATTGATGACCACTAGTGGAGGCTCCTCCTGCAAATGCTCCCGCCTGCCATCCACAATCAGCTGGTCAAACACCAAGAGTTCATCCCACAGGGGGCTCAGAGTCTGCTCCAAGACCTTGGGGACCATGCAGGAAAAGGACAAATGCAGAGCAGAAGCAGACTCCCTACACATGCCAGTGGGCAGCCGAAGAGATTCTTCAACTGTTTGTCGCCAAAGGCAGGGGTGCAACTGTGCTGTCTCCCTATGACCATCTGCCATTCTCATATTCTAGCCCTAAAGTCAGCCCCAGGAAACTGCTTTTCTGTTCTCCATCACTGAGTCAGGCCAGGGTCCTGTCTAGTGCCCAGTGCTGAAAACCCAAAGTGGGAAGAGAAACTTAGGGCCTTGGACAAGAGTGCCCCTTGTCCCCTGCTCCCCTCTGCCCATAGCCGAGCCTGGCCCTCACCCGTGTGGTCTGGCACTGGGTAGAGATGAGGACACGTGCAAAGGGGTCTGAGAGGCCGCTGTCATCTGCTGCCAACACACCACGGGCCTGGTACAGATGAGCCCGCAGCTGGAAGTAGCTAAAGTCTGGGGTGAGTGGAAGGAGGGAGCCATGTTTGCTCAGGACACCACTAGAGTTCTCGGACTAGGGCAAAGAGCAAGGTGGCTGACCCCTGGCCCTGTACTCACCGTCCCGGTGTAGGCTGTGGGGCAGTCCAGCCGAGGGTTCAGGCAGAAGATCTGGGGGCAGCTCAGAGGTGCAGGCCTTGGCTTGCTTGGCCAGCCCCAGCCACAGGAAGAGCTCCAACTTGGCACAGACCTCCCCAGGGGCTGCCCCAGGAACCTGTGTGGGAAGGAGGCATGCTGGGCACCCCAAAACATGCCCCAAACCTCTGTGCCCAGTGGTACCCAAGCTCCCCAGTACAGGAGGCATGCCCTCTGTTCCCACTGCAGGAGGCATGCCCTCTGTTCCCACTGCAGGAGGCATGCCCTCTGTTCCCACTGCAGGAGGCGTGCCTCTGTTCCCACTGCAGGAGGCATGCCCTCTGTTCCCACTGCAGGAGGCATGCCCTCTGTTCCCACTGCAGGAGGCTTGCCTCTGTTCCCACTGCAGGAGGCGTGCCTCTGTTCCCACCGAGGCATCTTGCTTCATGTCCTCCATCCGCCCCCACCTCACACTACCCTACTTCCCAGACCCGCAGCAGTAAGCGCAGATTATAACCTGCCCTCTCTCCTTTGTCCCTTCTAGTCTCAACACATCTTTCTCTGTCCTTTGTGTCAAGAGCCACAGCTTCTCACTGTTCAAAACCTGTTCTAGTATCTTTTCCAGACACAGTTCATTTGGAAAATTCCTGTGTGTAATCCAGTTCTGCTTATAAGAATGGTCACGGCCGGGCGTTGGTGGCTCACGCCTTTAATCCCAGCACTTGGGAGGCAGAGGCAGGTGGATCTCTGTGAGTTTGAGGCCAGCCTGGTCTACAAGAGCTAGTTCCAGGACAGCCTCCAAAGCCACAAAGAAACCCTGTCTCGAAAAAACCAAAAAAAAAAAAAAAAAAAAAAAAAAAAAAAGAATGGTCACCCTCCTCCTCATTACCCTGTCCATGTGTCAGCCTTGTTAGTCAAAGGGCCAGCACAGGCCCAGGGCAGACAGGTTTGCTGTTCAGCTGACCTGACAAAGCCACAACCTCCTTTTGACTTTTTGGAGAGTTCAAGACAGCCAGAGAGGTTCCTGGTTGGAAGCCACAGACTGTCACCTCTCATGTCCTGTCCTGTGTTAGGAACCCCGCTCTCACCAGCACCTCCACCCCAGGCCCTGCCTCACTGTGAGCAGAAGACTCTGGATCTTCCCACAGTGCCGGCCTCGCTCCTCTTCGACCACAGAGAACAGCACATCCTGGGCAGGGATGCGGGCATAGGCCACACGGCGCTGGCCGCTGATCATCCAGACCATCACATCAGGGAAGGGTGGCTGCGGCTGCAAGTGGAGGACAGGGTTGCCTGGAGCCTTTGCAGCTAATACTATCTGATCCTGAAGCTTAGGCTCTCTGTGTAATTTTAATGCCCTGACTTTTCTGAACCCCTGGTCCTGTGGCCACCTGCTCCCTGACTTCTCCTCCTGGATGCACCATAAGGCACCTCAGACTCGAAGACCACCTAGACCACCTAGAGTCTCCACATAGCATTCTGCACTCTGCCCAGTCACTTTTTTTTTAATTTGGTTATTCAAGACAGGGTTTCTCTGTGGCTTTGGAGGCTGTCCTGGAACTCGATCTTGTAGACCAGGCTGGTCTCGAACTCACAGAGATTCACCTGCCTCTGCCTCCAGAGTGCTGGGATTAAAGGCCCAGTGGCCCTCGTCACTTTTAAGTCTACAATTCAATGGTGTTAAGTGCATTCATAGATGTACTCACAGTCACACACACCCAAAACTCAAAGCCACACACCTCCAGAAATCTCATCTCACAAAATAGAAACTCAAAAAACAAACAAAAAACAAAACAAAACAAAACAAAAAAAACAGAGAGCCGGGCGTTGGTGGCGCACGCCTTTAATCCCAGCACTCGGGAGGCAGAGGCAGGCGGATCTCTGTGAATTTGAGGCCAGCCTGGTCTACAAGAGCTAGTTCCAGGACAGCCTCCAAAGCCACAGAGAAACCCTGTCTCGAAAAACCAAAAAAATAAAAAGATAAAACTAGGACTGCAGAGCTGGCTCAGTGCTTAAGAGCTCTGACTGCTCTGCTCTCCCAGAGGACCTGGGTTCTGTCCCCAGCACCCACACGGTGGCTCAGGTGCGTCTGTCGCTCCATTCCCAGGAATCTCCTGTCCTCTTCTAACCACAGACACCAGGCAAGAGGCAGGCAAAGAATCTATACACATAAACTAAATAAACCTTTAAAAAACGACACTAGATAGAATGCGTATTTATGTTATGAAATGTCATTTGACAAAGGGAGGCTTTCATTACAAATTTTAAAGACAGGATAGGGATGTGAGTTAGTGGTTAAGCATGCTTATCGTAAGAGGGAGAGGGAGGGAGGGGAAGGGGAGGAGTGAGATGGAGGGAGGGAGAGAGGAAGAGAAGGAGGGAGGGAGGGAGGGACACAGGAAGAGAGGGGGAGGGAAAGGGGAGGACGGAAGGCAGATTAATTTTGCTCTGAGATTCAATTTGATGACACTCCTATCCTGCCCCTCCTTCCAATGCTGTTTTCCACCTGCCCAGGCCTCCCAGTCCTGGGCATTTGCACACGCTGGGCATCCCTCCTCTCACACACCAAACTGCAACTATCAAATATGCTTGGAATTCCTGCTGCTGCTTAACCAGCTGTGCCACAATGGCTAGACTGTCAGCCTCCATCACATGCCTGTTAATGGCACAGACCCCTCCCGCAAGGTTGTTTGAAGAATCACACCAGAACTCAAGCAGATGCTTAGTGCAGAAAGAGGCACGAGCTCTCCCCGTACATCCCAGCCACCGTACTAAACAAAGGAGATCATGCCCAAGGAAGGCCGGTCAGCTGTCCTTCCAAGAAGATCTGGAGTAGTCTCTGGATCCCCGCTGATCCCTTCCCTCCCTCCCTCTTGACTGCTGCGTGGAGCTCGTGGCATGATGGCACCTCCCAAAGGACAGCTGTTGCACATGCCCAATCCAGACCTGGGGTGGGAGAAGTGTGGAGTAGGAAAGTGTAGTGGGTTAGACATCACCTCCCGAGCCAGGAAATGCAGTTTTGCCAGGAGCTTCTTGGCCAGCACCACCCTCCTCTGCATGTTGCTCTGCCTCAGGCCCCGTAAAAGCTGCAATCCTTGCTTCGCCATCAGATTCTGGGAGGGCGGGGAGCCGTAAGTGGAAGGGCTCATCTAGGAGCCCTCCCTCCTCCCCGGTCCCAGCCTGTACCAAGCTGTGCAGCAGTAGTTTCCCTCGGCATCGATCCAGGGTGTTGGGTCGCGTCATCATCCTGCGCTCAGCACCGAGGCAGAACTGTCTGCAGAGAAAAGTCAGGGTGAGGTCAGGACCCCGGAAACACTTCCCTCAGGAAGGCCTCCTGGGCCTGACCATGACAGCCCTTCCTCCTCAGACAGCCTCATGCCCAAATGCACCAAGTACAGCCTGGCCTTTGAGGCCTGCAGCCACCAATATTTAACATCTCCTGCCCTGGATACCTCAATTATGGCTCAACAGCCTGACAGTCCTCTCCATGCTAGTTAGAAATGTCCTGACAGTCCTGCCAGCACTGCCTAAGACCTACAGCACCAGGCCCTACTTGTTTACCTTCTGGGAGAGTCCTATACCTACACTCAACCAGAGAATGCCTGCTGTAGTCTCCACCAGCCTTACTAAAAGATAGCTGGACTTCCAGGTGAAGTGGTATATGACACCTTTAATCCCAGCACTCAGGAGGCAGAGGCAGGTGGATCTCTGTGAGTTCTAGGCCAGCCTGGTGTACAGAGTGAGTTCCAGGATGGCCAGGGATAAACTATAGAGTAAAAAGGGCCAGTGAGCTGGGCAGTGGTGGCACACACCTTTAATCCCAGCACTTGGGAGGCAGAGGCAGGCAGATCTCTGTGAGTTCGAGACCGGCCTGGTCTACAAGAACTAGTTCCAGGACAGCCTCCAAAGCCACAGAGAAACTCTGTCTCAAAAACAACAACAAAGAAAAAAAGAAAGAAAAAGAAAAGAAAACTCTGGCCCTGAGACCTGAGCCAAAGAAACACACCCTGCCCCTGACCAATTCAATAACTGAAATCCAACCAGTCCCTGAGCATAAAATCCAACCAATCCCTAAGCATAAAATCCAACCAATCCCTAAGCATAAAATCCAAGCAATCTCTGAGCTTGTTCCAAACTCAGGAATTCAGATCCTACCAATACCTGCCCTGAAAATCTCTACCTTGGAACGCCCCATCCCTAAGAAATCCTGTATAAGCCCTGTATCAGTTCAATTTGGGGCTGCCCTTTTTCCACCCTGACAGAGGCAGCCACTCTCCTGGATTCTTCTCTCCCAATAAATCTCTTCAGTGAGGTTTGTTGTAACAACTTTCTTTCCCTGAAGCAGAGCAGAGATGTACCAGCTCTTCCAGCCAGAGCAGAGCAGAACTGTTACATTTCTGCAGTGAAACTCCCTTAGCAGAGAAGAGCTTTAACAACCTTCACTGTAGCAGAGTAGAGCTTTAACAACCTTCACTGGAGCAGAGCAGAGCTGTAACAACCTTCACTGGAGCAGAGCAGAGCTGTAACAACTCTCACTGGGACAGAGCAGAGCAGGAGCAGAGCAGAACTGTAACACTGTAGCTGGGGAAACTTTCCCTTGCTGGAAGCAGAATTATTACACTCTGGGAAAGCTGAGCAGGGCTGTAACATTTCTCTGGAGCAGAGAGGAGCAGAGCTGTGACAACCCAGCTGGAGAATCCTCCCCTGCTAAAGCAGAGTTATTATACTTGCATTAGGGAAACCTTTCTTGGAACAAGGATTGTCCCCCACTGAAACAGAGCTGTAGGTATTTCTTGGCTGCCAGGATACCTTTCACTTCTGAGCCGTAACACTTACATCACAGAGAGAGCTTGTCTTTGGGGGTGGGGTGGGGGGTGAAAGTGACCAGAATCAGAATGGGTACATAAGTGAGCAATAGAGCACATGCTTAGTGTGTGTGATGCTGACTTTAATGTCCAGCACCACATGCACGCAATATGCATGTACTAGCATCCTGCATCTAACCACTTAGCCCATCTTCCTCTAGGATCACCCAGACTAAATGACCATTATTTCTCACCCAGGACCACCGCAGTCACCTCCTCGCTGTACTGGTTGGTGTTCTCACCCTCACACCATAGAACATTCTCAAAAGCACCCAAAATTCTGTCAATACCTTTCCATCTGTTTTGTTCTACTGTAGCTGCTTCTCATCTAAGGCTAAAACACAAAACTCTAAAAATAGCCTAAAAGGTTCTGCATATCTGGCCCATTATCTGCATCCTCGCTAAATATGCCTTGCCCCATGAAGAACAACTGTGTGTCACACTGGCTTCTTTGTTCCTCCATAAATTATGTAGAGAGCAGAAAAATCTTTGTGCACACAGATAAGCACCAAGGAAGCCAGGGAAAGTTGAACGCATAGCTTATCTCTTCAATGGAATGAGGTGCTTAACTGTAGTTTACAGCCTGATGATCCTTTGCTGTCTGATGAGCCAGGCTTCGTTCACCTATCCTAGAATTTATATTTTACTTATTCCAGCCCCTTCCCCCAAAAAACCTTAGCATTGCTTCTAAGACATAAAACCCACCCTCATGAGTGATGTCACTTGTACTTTACAACAGCCTAAGTAACTTCTATGTTATCTTAGGACCAGGCCAATCCTGACACCCACAGGTATGTTTATCTCAGTCAGTCACTCAAGATCCTAAATCTTGGGCACTATCGCTGAGCCAACAGTACCCTACTTTGAGGTCAGATGTACTTTGTAAAGAGTCTCAATACAACACCCCCTCTCTGTGTGTGTGTGTGTGTGTGTTCAAGACAGAGTTTCTCTGTGTAGCCCTGGCTGTCATGGAATTAGCTCTGACACTCCTATCCTGGTCTACAGAGCGAGTGCCAGGACAGCCTCCAAAGCCACAGAGAAACCCTGTCTCGAAAAAAACCAAAAAAAAAAAAAAAAAAAAAAAAAAAGAATGAGCTCCTGGCCCCAAAAGATACGGGTGGAGAAGTGAAAATCCACATCTATGGCTTCACAGCTTCTGGCACTGGGATATTCTCATTCTTGTTAAGTCGTCTATCACTTAAAACGTTGTCTTTTTAATAAAAACATTTGTTTATTTATTGTTTTATCTCTGAGACAAGGACTCACTATCTAACTCTGTCTGTCCTGGAACTTATTGTGTAGATTGGCCTTAAACTCACAGAGATCCACCTGTCTGTCTCTGCCTACAAGTGTAGGGATTAGTGTCATGTGCCACCATGTTCAGCAGCCCCCACTTTTTAATTAAGAATAATTTTTAAAAAATATTTTATTTATTTATTGTGTATACAGCTTTCTGCCTACAGGCCAGCAGAGGGTACCAGATCTCATTCAAGGTGGTTGTGAGCCACCATGTGGTTGCTGGGAATTGAACTCAGGACCTCTGGAAGAACAGTCAGTGCTCTTAACTGCTGAGCCATCTCTCTAGCCCCTAAGAATAATTTTTAAGGGTTTTTTTTTTTTGAGACAGGGTTTCTCTGTGTAACAGCTCTGGCTGTCCTGGAACTTCCTTTGTAGACCAGGCTGGCCTTGAACTCACAGAGATCTGCTTGCTTCTGCTTGAAAGTGCTGGGATTAAAGGTATGCACCACCACTGCCCAGCTTAGATTGGGTAAATTTATCTGGGAAGACCCACCAGAACTGTGGGTGGCACCGTCTCATGGGCTGAGGTTCTGGGTTGACTAAAATGGAGAAGGTGAGCTGCGCCCAAGCATTCAACCCTCCCTGCTTCCTGGCTGCAGGTATGGTGTGGTCAGCAGTGTCCTGCTCTTGGTGCCACGCTTTCCCTGCTACAATGGACACTCACCCCTAAAACTGTAAGCCAAGGTAAACTCGTCCTTAAGTAATTTTGGAGAGCGATCTTTCACAGCAATGAGGAAACGGATACTGGTTCTGAAATCTTGGAGCTCATCTGTGACTGCACACACTTTTCTCCTCTTCTACATCTAGCCGTGCTGAGATGACATCTCCAACCGTGAATCCCCACTTTTGTTTGTTTGTTTTTGAGACAAGATCTCATGTATGCCACACTGGTCTCAAGCTGAGGCTGACCTTGAACTTCTGATCCTCCTGCCTCTACCTCCCAAGTGCTGGGCTTACAAATATGCACCACACACCTGGTTTCTGCAGTGCTGGGGATTGAACCCATGGCTCTGTACATGCCAGGCAAGCTCTCTGCCAAGTGAGTTGCATCCACAGCTCTCATCTCCATTGCACAGTGCAGTTCACCCGTCCCCTAAACTACTACAAGGCCTTGTTAGTAACCTTGCCTTCTCTCACACCATCTCTCCCCCACCCATCCTCAAGTTGTAAATGAGAGTTTCAAGACCTTCAGCGGTTCTCCCATCACCCAGAAAAGAAACCATGGCCATTGCAGTGATAGGGCAAGTGCCTCGAGTATTGGCTGAGTAGAGAGAAAATGCTTGAGAAAGCCTCAGAAAGGGACTCAAGTGCCTAGAGCAGGTTATCAAATTCATGGCAGTGAGGGTGAAAGACCAAAACAGCTAGGATGAGTTCCTGTGGTTAGAGCGACAACTGGTAACTGAGAAAGGAAGAGTTAAGGGTGCTGCAGAGACAGATGATGGCAGAGTTAGCTATGCGGGAGGTGAGGGGAGACTGAATCAGTATCTGACATGCAACTGGGGAAGCAGCTTCCTCCCTGAATCAGGAAGAAGGGCCCACAAATGGGTGCAGAAGCTGGCCAGGTATAGGCTGGATGGAGGTGGGCAGGGTTTTCCTTTCTCCAGGAACCCAATACCCCATGATCTCTAGCAAGCATCATTGACATGAACACTTCTCATTCTCTTTCTTCTGTAGATGCTGGACAAATGCAGCTTGAAATCACCCTTGATTTCAACAGCTGCCGTGAGTCTCTTGCCCATCCTGTAACCGGCCAGGGATAGGCTTTAGAGGGCTGACCCTCAGCTCACCTGCTCCCAGCCACCAGCTCTTCCAGAGTCTGCTTAAGCCGTGTGCAGGCACCCAGCCCCGACCTGCGCTGCATCTTCTCAACCTCCTGCAGGCCCTGGTCCTGTGTGGGCTCCGGCAGAAGTCAGTCTGGAGGGTCCCTGGCCCTCCCCCCCCATTCATACCCTGGCTCTGCTTCTCTAGTCCCCTTCTGACTCCACCCCATTTATCACTGTGCCCGCCCCTTTCCAAGTTCCCACAGCTTTGTAACCCTCGGTCTGCCTAGGAACTCCAAGCCTTGTCCACCCACTTCCTGGCCCTGCACCAAGAAGGTATGAGCCCCACCCCTTAGTATCCACTTTGGAGCACCTTCAAAAGCTGAGTCTCTCTTGTCATGTGTCTGGGCCCTTCCCTGCGGGGGCCACCTTGCTCTCACCAGCCTCTCGGCCACTTTGCACACACTGTTGCTGCTATGCAGGCGCCACGTATAATCCTCCCAGCGGCTCCATACTTGTAGGCAGGGCTTTCGGTGCCGCAGAGGCAAGCACAGGTATGGCCTGGGCCAGAGAGAAGGGAGGAGGTTGGGGGACTCCTGAGAGTTTGAGGGCCTCTCTATTCCCTCCTACAAGTCACCCTGATCACTTACCCATTGCCATCTACAGGCTCGGGCCACTGATCAGGTGTCCCCAGCAACTCTTCCTCCTCCTGCCCTGCCTGTCTGTTCTCGGGTCCCAGGAGAGGCCGAGCTTCTGATATGCCGCCTTCAGCTCCCTCGTCAGCCCTTGACCTTTGGCCCAATTGCTCCTCTCTGCGACCTGCAGGACCTGCCCCCAGAACAAGGATCAGAGCATCAGTCTGAGGCATCCCTCTGCAGCCTCTGCCTCAGGAGGAGCAGAAGCCCCCACTCTCCCCAAAAGTGAGCCTCCCTCCTGTGCCCTAAAGCCCGAAACAAGAGGGCAAACCCGTGACCTTCAGGGCTCATCTAGGCCACACACCAATGGAAATCTCCAAGCTGATAGGCTGCTTGGCCAGTGAAGGGTCAATCATGGTGGCCTCAAAGACCACGGCAAAAAGCAGGAAATCTTCGCAGGGTGCCAGGGCGTTCTGGGGAAGAGAGCAGGTCAGCTGGGTCAGCTCCCACCAGGAGCAGTCTGCGCTGTGCTTGGTCACAATGCCCACAGAAAGATATCGACTAAGGTTCAGGGAGCTCTGTGTCTTACCTCCCTCTTGGCCCCTCGTAGCTGCCCCATACACTGGTCCAGAGGACAGATTCTCTCTGATGCATGCCCTCTATATATGCCATATCCATGTACACCAGCACACATGTGCACACACACTGAATTCTCCACCCAAGTCCCCAAACTGATAACAGCATCATGATTTCCAATGCTTGGAAAGGGATTTACAAGCCCTAGAGCCAAGGGTCACCACCACCAGCCCCGCCTCCACCACCAGCCCCGCCTCCACCACCAGCCCCGCCTCCACCACCAGCCCCGCCTCCACTACCAGCCACACCTCCGGCAGGGGCAGCAACTCCTCCACCTCCACCTCCGCTGCACCAGGAACCACAGGTACATCCCCACTGGCACCGGCATCCGCAGGCTTTGGAACGCCAGCTGGGGTTTGACCCTGCTTGGTCTTCTTCTTTTTCTTCCCAGTGAGTCGGGACAATCTGGACCCCTGTGTGCTCTGGGGGGATGTAGATTCAACTCTGCCTTCCAACACCTCCATGGACACAGCTACCAGAAGTCGGCCCCGGAACCAAATGCCTTCTCCAACACCTTCGTTGAGACTTTGAAGACCATCCCGGAACCTGCCACTGGGGAGCGAGCCATAGAGGGGCACCCAGGCCGGACCAAAAGTAGGGTTAAACCCGGCTGTGGGGGACAAGAACAGGGTTTGGAGGAGAGCACAGGGTAAATGGAGACTGCTCTGAACTGTACACCTTTGTATCCCCCAGGTGTTGGGGGAGGGAAAGAGAAGGCTGAGTTCTAGAAGGGAACAGGTCGGTGACAAACAGTAGCAGACAGAGGACCTCTCTAAGCTTCAGAGGGGAGCTGAGGCTGGGGCGGAAGTACTAGTCCTGTGGTAATTGGCGGAGGGGTGTGGATACTGAAGCCACTGACTTCAGAGTGGTCATTTTGCAGCAAGGCTTGACTGAAACGGGGGGGGGGCCGTCACGGTCTGAAGGCAGAGCCTGGCTTAGAAGAGTTCATTTTGTGGGGTGGACGGTCCTTCCTAGGCCACCTGTGTTTTAAGGATGCTCTTTGTTCTGAGGGGCCGATGTGAGCCAGGGCAGACAGGGCCCCTCTTCCCGCAGAGGCCGGTTACGCTCACCTGCGCGGCCAGAGTTCGAGATCTGCCTCAGGTCCAGCACATGTGTGGCTAGTGCCACATCCAGGAGCGGTGCGTCATCACGCAGCTGCAGGCGAAGGCCACGTGTTAGCGGCGGGAAGAGTTCCACAAAGCTCAACTGCTCATTCCACTCGGGCTCCGTCTCCTCTGCACGCACAGAAGTCTCACCCTGAGGGCCGAGTCAGACAGAGGGGATTAGTGCGGGTCCCAAAAGATGGTTCTGCGGGTGGCGGTGCTTGATATCAAGTGTGATGACCTGAGTTTGATCCCCAGGTCCTATACTGATGTCCCTCCTGCAGGGTGGCCTCTGACCTCCTCACATGCACCATGGCACTCAGCGCTCCCACACACATACACAAAATAAATAATAAAGGCTGGAGAGAGAGCTGGGCGATTAAAGTTGAGAGCAAGTACTCTTCCAGGGAGTGAGTTTGCTTCCCAGTCCACACATCATGCAACGCACCCCGACCTTGACTCAGCTGCAGGGGCTCTGACACCCTCTTCAGGCCTCCGTGGGCACTTACACTCATGTGCACAGAATACCACACAGATATTCATACATACGCATAATTAAGAATAAGAATAGTTAGGCATTGTCGAACATGCCTAAATCCTACCAAGGGAATCTGAGTTCCAGGCCAGGTAGGGCTACATAGCAAAACCTTATCTCAAAATGAATAAATAAAGATATCTTTAATAAATGATTTTTTAAAAGACTCAGCTGTGGCATGGGGGACAAGAGTGACTTACCTGCTGCCCCAGGAAGCTCACCCGCACATAGGGATCCAGGAGGACGTGTTGTTCACGCAGTGCACGGGCCAGATTGCCTAGCAGCCCCGTGCGCACTGTGGGAAGACCCTGGGCACGGTACACACGTACATGCAGGCGTGCCCATGGTCTCTCAGCCTGCACCCCACGTGGCAGGAGTAGATTCCTAGGAACAGCCCCCACTCAGGAGGAAAGCTACGGCCTGAGCCCCTCTGCTCCTCTGACCCCCTGAGGCCATGCCTCCTCCAATTCTCCACTCCCATGTCACCCCAGCTCACTTCTCGATGTCTGAACTGGTCCCAGGGACTGGAGGTGGCAGTGGAAGGGGAGGGTCCCCGCGTGCCCTCACAGACAAGGTGATCTTGACAAAGCCCTTGGTCCCAGATCGGGTGTCGCAGGGATCATGTAGAGGGGCCCACTTTTGGTGGAAATGCCCATCTAAAGATGGAGGGATAGGACAAGGAGTGAGAGGAAGCCTAAGGAATGTTTGAGTTGTTTCAGGACATTGAACAATGGCTGGGGTTTCGGGCGAAGCAGTCTGTCTGGCATAGAGAGAAGAGCCAAAGTACAGGAAAGGTCAGCCATCGCAAGAGATGGCTGTCTCAGAAGTTAGTGCACTGGGGACAGCACAGGTGGGTGACCAGAGCCCAGTTTCTGGAGTCTTTGTTCATGTAAATGAGTTTCAACGAGAGAATGGGTTCAATACCTGGCTGGTCCAAGGCAATGCCCAGATCCATCCTGAAGGTGCCTATCCTGGTGGCCATGAATGGGAGAGTCTGCGAGTGGAAAGCCTGGGGAGAGAGGGGTTAGTCCTGGTGCTTTGGCGCCTTTCTCCCTGCCTCCTTTAAGTCCCATGGTGCTCTTCCTGCCTCAGCCACCCAAATACTCAGCTGGGCATCACCCCTTTCTCGACATAACCCTCTTTCCCACTCACAGTGATCTCCAGCAGCAAGTCTTGGAGGTGAAGCCGAGTCTTGTGAAAATCGAACAAGAAGTACTGGGTTGAGTGAGAAGGGGAGGGAGCGTAGGTGTGAAAGGTGCATTCAGCTTGCCCCGAAATCTTGCAAAGGGAATGCGGTCCCGTTCCTAAAAGGTGCCTACACTCTTCCCTTACAAAACCAGCGCTATTGAACCCAGGCCTGCCCTTTCCAGGGACAGGATGTCCTCTGGATCACCTGCATTCTCTCAAGCCCACCTCTTCCTTGGTGTTGCTCACCTCATTGTAGAAGGGGCAATTGGTTCCACGCTGTGTTGTGGTCACTCGGCGCTGGTCCCCCACGCACACAGCCACATAGGGGTTAATATTGACTCCCACCAGTTTCTGGGCCTCAAGAACAGTGACCCCCACCTAGGTAAGGAATGCGAAAGAGGGAGGAAAGAGAGTGAGACCCACCAGGATGAGGGTAGGAACCTGTCCACGAGGATTAGAGCTTGGCCCAAGGGTCATACCTGGAAGTCCCGGGCTCTGCACACCTGGAAGGGATCCCCGCGGGACAGGCCCAGGGTGCGGCTACAGAGAAGCATAGAGTCGAGTTCACTTCCCCTTCCCCACCCGCCCCCACACACAGTTGCCTGGCTCTGGGATAAGGACTTTTGAAGTTGAAGTCCTTTCAGACTCCTTTGTCTACCTTCGTCTCAGGCCCACATCCAGAGTTTGACTCATTCTTGGAGCTCTGAACCCATTTGCTTGCTCAGCAAAGGTTGATTGAGACCCGCTATGTGCCAGCGCTGTTCTAAGCACTGTAGCACTGACGTGAACGGCAGACAGGACTGTTTCTTTACTAACCAGCGTGAGCCACTACAGCGGAGTTTGAACATGAGGGTGTGTGTGCCTACGAGTAAAATGAGCCTTGATACCAGGGACCCCACCTCTCCCCACACCCTAGTGTGGATGGGTGTGGCCTTATGTGTGAGGAACACTGACTCAGCCACAGGGTGTGAGAGCAGGTGCACAGGAGCACGTTACCTTTTGAGGGGACTGAACACCACCCCAGAGATCTCCACGTCAGGCTCGTCCTCCAGCTCCAGCTCCAGCTCGTTCTCCTCATCATCCTGTGTCCCTAGGCTTCGAGCTAGCCTTCGGCCCAGAGCCACTGCCCGACGCTCCAGCCCGGCCTCCCCAGGCCTGATGGGAAAGGCCTCAGAGGTCATGGCTAGGACCTGTCACCTGTTGCTGGGCATCCCTTATTTTTGCTTATTTTATGATTGACCTTTGATTCCAGATTGGCCCTGCTATTCTGGGACTAATTCTTTTTTTTTCTTTTTTTTTTTTTTTTTGAGACAGGGTTTCTTCGTGTAACAGCCCTGGCTGTCCTGGAACTCCCTTTGTAGGCCAGGCTGGCCTTGAACTCACAGAGATCTGCCTGCCTCTGCCTTCCAAGTGCTGGGAATAAAGGCATGTGCCACCACACTTGGCTTTGAACTTTTTTTTTTTTTTTTTTTTTTGGTTTTTTCGAGACAGGGTTTCTCTGTGGCTTTGAAGTCTGTCCTGGAACTAGCTCTTGTAGACCAGGCTGGTCTCGAACTCACAGAGATCTGCCTGCCTCTGTCTCTCGAGTGCTGGGATTAAAGATGTACGCCACCACCGGCTGACTTTGAGCTCTTAATCCTGAGACCATTCTAACTTCAGAACCCAGTCCTGCTGCAAGGATTGACCTCTGACCTCATCATTCATTCGTTCGAATCTCAGACTCTGGGACTAACTCCATGTCACTGGTCCTCAGCCTCCAAACTGACCCCATGGCTCTCAGCCACTCCCACATACTTACTCCATCTCCTGGAAGCCCACATTGGGGATGATCAACTCTGAGCTGGGAGGGAAAACAGACAGGTGAGCCCTGCCTACTTAATGGCAACCTGGTGAAAACACACTCAGGGTCACAGTACCCAGCACACCCAGCAAGGGACAAATGCTCCTTTTCTCTCTACAGGCCGAGTTTCATCTGGAGACACCAGACCTTGCTTAGAATTACCTGTCTCGAATGGGTGTCCCAAAGTCCTCCTCTGCCCAGGTTCCAGCAGCTCCCTCAGGGGGCTGATACTTTAAGTCAAGCTCCACCTGGATCTGAAACCAGATATGGTGCTCATAGATCTCCTCAAACTGACATGGAGTTAGGAGAATATCAGGACAATGCATTCCACATCGTCTGAAAATAGAGACCCTTCGGGCTGTGTCTGTAGTAACATGCTCCTCTCTCACTATCAATATTGTTAGCGCTCACAATCTTCTGTATCTGCTAGCTGCTAGAAGAGGTAAAGTCAGCTGTCTTTAATGACAGACCCCTGGTGGGTCAGCTACACTCCAGGGCAGAGCCTCCTCCTAAGAGTAGTCGTGCAACATAAACTGAACTATTGTCAGGGGTGAAAAAACAAACAAACTCACAGTTGGATGGGAAGGGAGGTGAGGGTGGAGAGGAGACATGGGAAGAGTTGGGGGTGAATATGATCAAAATACATTCTATTAAGTTCTCATAGAATTAACAAAGAGCATGATTTTTAAAATAGTTACAGCCTTCTTAAGAACTACAGGCAAAGCCGGGCGTTGGTGGCACGCGCCTTTAATCCCAGGACTCGGGAGGCAGAGGCAGGCAGATTTCTGTGAGTTCAAGACCAGCCTGGTCTACCAAGCGAGTTCTAGGACAGAGTCCAAGACAATACAGAGAAACCCTGTCTCAAAAAACCAAAAAGAACTACAGGCAATAGTCTGGGGAGATGGCCTAGAAGGTTAAAGGATGCTTGCTGGCAAGCCTGACAACCTGAGTTTGATGCCCAGAGCATACATAGTGGAGGAAGAGAACAATTCCTAGAAGGTGTCTTCTAACTTCTGGACATATACCCACTCACACATAAAAAATAAATGTTTGACTGGGCAGTGGTAACACAAACCTTTAATCCCAGCACTCAGGAGGCAGAGGCAGGTAGATATCTGAGTTTAGAGGCCAGCCTGGTCTACAGAATGAGTTCCAGGACAGTCAGGGATTCCCTGAGAAACCCTGTCTCAAAAAATCAGAATAACTAACTAACTAAATACATGTTTAAGGGCTGAAGAGTGACTCATCTGTTAAGAGCACTGACTGTTCTTCCAGTGGACTTGGGTTCAATTCCCTGCAACCACATCATGATTCACAAGCATCTCTAGTCGGATCTGATTCCCTCTTCTGGCCTGCAGGTATACCTGCAGGCAGACATACATGCAGACAGGGTACTTATATACATAATAAAGTACATGAATAAATCTTTTTTTTTTTTGAAACAGAGTTTCTCTGTGACTTTGGAGGCTGTCCTGGAACTAGCTCTTGTAGACGAGGCTGGTTTTGAACTCACAGAGAACTGCCTGTCTCTGCCTCCCAAGTACTGGGATTAAAAGCGTGTGCCACCACCGCCCTACTTGAATAAAAACTTTTAAAACTAAAAATAACGTTTAAAATTATTTTTGAGACAGGGTTTTAGTGTAGCCTGGAAGTCATCATGTAAACCAAGCTGGCCTGGAACTCAGAGAGATTTACCTGCCTCTGCCTCTGCCTCTGCCTCTGCCTCTGCCTCTGCCTCTGCCTCTGCCTCTGCCTCTGCCTCTGCCTCTGCCTCTGCCTCTGCCTCTGCCTCTGCCTCTGCCTCTGCCAGGATTAAGGGTATGCACTGCCGTGCTCAGTTCTAAATAAAAAGGAAATCAATGAAAAGGACTTAAGGCTGGAGATCCAGCTCAGTTGGTAGAGTGCTTGCCTAGCATTCAGAAAGGCGTGGGTTTGGACTCAGCAGCACTGAAAACAAACAAAGCTAAGCCTGGAAAATACAAAACAAACAGCAACAAAACTCAACTTCAATGTGCAAGTTACCTCTTGAGTCTATTCTTCCTCTGTTCTTGGCCTTCACAGCTCTACGTGGCCTGGTCCCTGACAACTTTTCCAGCTCCATCTCATTCTAGGTTTCTGTCCCAATCAGCACCCTGATCAGCACATCAGGATTTCACATATTCAGGACCCTCTGTCTGAACATTTTCCTTCCTACTTAGCTATAACCTTCAGTTCTGAGCTCAAGTTTCCGCCGGGAAACTTCCTTCCTCCCTGTCTAGGTCACAGACTGGTTATACACACTCATAGACTCTTACCAGCCCTGTAACATTCACCAGCAGCAAATCTACTTCTACCTGTGTGGATGCTTGCTCAGTGCTGGGCCCACTTGGTTCAGCTGGTGAGCTTCAATAAAGCAAATCTTTATTTGGTTTTGCTTACCACTGAATCCCTATAGCTCATTATCATCCTTGAACTTAACCAATAACTGAATGAAAAAAAAAAAGTCTGACTCTGCATTGTGTGAATAAGGAAACAGCTTAGTGATGCTGAACTCCACTAGGTTCTCCAGTGGGAAGTGGCAGACCTGAGATTTGAAGCCAGTTCCTCCTCTTTTAAGGATACGCAACCTTCCATGAAATAACAGGAAAATCCTACCAGGTTCATCACTGTCGCCCGTAAAAGAAGTGAACCTACCCCCACCCAAGGAGCAACAGTACACTCACCACACCCCTTGGGACTCAGAAATAGCCTGCGTCTGGCCTTGTAGGACTCAGGCAGGGGCTGTAAGAAAGGGCGCCTAAGCTGGGGCCTGGTGCTTGTTGCCACTCCTGTCTGACTCAAGTTTTCCCTTCAGTTAAACGGAACCCTCTGTTTGGAGGAAGTCTCAGGCCTGCTGATGGCAGTAGGCTGGTGGCACTTACTGGGGACACTCGGAGTTTCTCATCCACTAGGGCTTCCCTCAGCACCAAGTGCCCAGCACTTTGCAGCTGCTGCAGGGAGATCACCAGTGTCCCCAGGGACCTAGAAGAGTGGCACGAGACAGAAGAGTGAGATGGGCAGTTGACACCAAGCCCTTCCCTGGCTTCCTCCAGCTTTACTCACCTGGGGCTGAACACATGGCTACAGTTGACCACCTGTACAGACAGACTCTCCCCAGCCAGTGGAGATCCATAGTGGGGCCAACGAAACAGCTGGGGACGGGAAGACGTTCATAACGGGATGCTAGGCTGACCCTCACAGAGTCTATTCCCAACTGTTCAAATGTGAGGCTACACCTAGTAGTGATCTCCCAAGCCTACAACAAACCCCTCCAACATGGAGTTGACTTCAATCTCGGGCTGATCTGGAACTCCTTGCCAATCAAGCACTGACATCTCAAACCAGGGCCGACTTCTCAAACCTGAGACTCACAGTATTTCTGAAGACCACACCTTCCGAGCCCAGGAATGAGCCCTCCTGCCCCAGCATGGACCCCAAACAGAAAATCCTGACTTCTTTCCAGCCAGGAAGCAGCTATACTGACCTCACCAACATCTGCTTCTCGGCCACAGCGAATTTTCCTTGTTTTCTGGGTAAAGCCTGCTCAAAATGAAGCTGGTCATTTATCAGCCCCTCCAAATACACAAACCATGGCCCACCGTCTAGTTCCCCACTCACTCTTAAAGAAAAGTGGAAGATAAGAAAACAAGTAGAAGCCAGGGTGAAGGGAGACCGGTTATAGAGCAAGGATTTAAATCGGACGGAATGAAGAACCCAGAATCCCCCAGCTCTAAAAGTCCCCAGACCACCCATGCAGGTCTCACCACGGAAGCAGAGATGCACTTGTCGGTCATGGATGCCTGGCAGCCCTGTTAGGCGCCTCACGCACACAGTCAGAGCCATGGCACAGTGCTGTGGCTCAGTCTGCCTGCTTGCCCTTCCGCCTGCCGGTGTCCGTGACTCACTGGACTCACCCGGCAGGTTCAGCTGTCCCTTCCCTCTAGTCAAACACACAGGGGGCAGGCCTGGAGGTCATGGGTGGGAAGGTCTGAGGCCTGAGAGGCGGGGTCAGCACCAAGCTCTGCCTCTACCATCGGCTGGATGGCAAGAAGCTTCAACCCACGTCTCATCTTTGTGGGGTGGGAGCTGGGATAGGTACCAATGGAGAAGATCTAAGGCTGGCCCCTGCTAGCCTATGAGGCCTCACGTCTTGGTGTTCTTTCCTATCGCTGCGGTGAAGCACCATGACCAGAAGTAACTCTTGAAACCGGCTTATTTCACTCACGCTTGCACATCAAAGAGCAGGAACTCAAGCACGCAGAGGCCATGCAGGAGTTCCACTTACTGGCTTGCTCAGCCTGCCTTTTTGTTTGTTTACTTTCTAATAGAATCGAGGGCTGCCAGCCCAGAGATGTCCCCATCCACAGTAAGCTGGGTCTCCGCATTAATAAGTTAGTTAAGAAAATGCCCAACAGGCTTGGCTAAAACCTAATCTTACAGAGCCGTTTTCTCAGTTGAGGTCTCTTCCTCTCCTAGGACTCTAGCTTGTTGTGTCATTGACATAAAACTAGCCAGAACAATGGACCCTTGTCAACTTGACACACCAATGCAACACTATTCGACAATAACCTTTCCTTTTTTGTTCATCCCCAATATCTCATATTAATAAATAACACAATATAAAACATAGTGGGCCAGGCAGTGGTGGCACACACCTTTAATCCCAGCATTCAGGAGTGGGGGCTGGGATTTTTGAGACAAGGTTTCTCTGTGTAGCTCTGGCTGTCCTGGAACTCACTCTGTAGACCAGGCTGGTCTCAAACTGGGAGATCTGCCTGCCTGTCTCCCAAGTGTTGGGATTAAAGGCTGTGCTACCACTGCCTGGCTAAAAAATCTCACAGCTCACAGTCTTTACAAATTCAAATACTTTGAAAATTCAGGCTCTTAAAATACAAGATTAACTCAAAAAAATCAGTAGCTTCCTATATACAGACAATAAACATGCTGAGAAGGAAATCAGAGAAGCATCACCCTTTACATTAGCCACAAATAACATCAAATATGTAGTGATAACTCTAGCCAAGCAAGTGAAAGAGCTGTACGACAAGAAGTTCAGGTCTTTAGAGAAAGAAATTAAATGAGATATCAGAAAATGGGAAGATCTCTCATGCTCTTAGATAGGTAGGATCAACATAGTCAAAAATGGCAGTCCTACCAAAAGTCATCTACAGATTCAATGCAATCCCCATCAAAATCCCAGTATAATTCTTCACAGACCTTGACAGGATAATACTCAACTTCATATGGAAAAATAAAAAACCCAGGATAGCCAAAACCTCCCTGGACAATAAAGGATCATCTCGGGGCAACATCATCCCTAACTTCAAGCTCTATTATAGAGTTATAGCAATGAAAACAGCTTGGTATTGGCATAAAAGCAGACAGGTGGACCAATGGAATCAAATCAAAGACCCCATATCAACCCACACACCTATGAACACCTAATTTTTGACAAAGAAGCTACAAATATAAAATGGAAAAATTTCAGCCGGGCATTGGTGGCGCACGCCTTTAATCCCAGCACATGGGAGGCAGAGGCAGGCGGATCTCTGTGAGTTCGAGACCAGCCTGGACTACCAAGTGAGTTCCAGGACAGCCTCCAAAGCCACAGAGAAACCCTATCTCGAAAAACCAAAAAAAAAAAAAAAAAAAAAAAAAAAAGGAAAACTTTCGCTGACTGATATCTTCAGGGCTGTGATTGGAACCAGCTGAACAACCCTGGATCAGCCCCTGAGTGGGGGATTGTGGATGAGGAAAGGCTAGCTATCCAATGATGTTAAAGAAAAAGACAGAGACATGATCATAACAGGAGGTCAGGGTCAGTCAATATTGAATGCCCCCAGTTTGTTGATGCATGGTCTTAAGTAACCATCCTAAGGTGGAGAAGACTGATAGCAATTATTTCCCTGAATTGTAAAGACACTCCTTTGCAGCACGTACTCAAGCCTTTAGGCACCTTCACCCCAGCATGTCTCATTAGCCTTCAGGATGGGTGAAGACTCACCCTGGCCCAAGTCTGTTGGTATTTAGATAGGAACCATTCTCCACACAGTCCAGGACATCCGGCTGCTGTTAGGTGACATCTAAAAGAAATTCTGGGCTCTGCTGAATTCATGGCAGGGTGGAATAGATATCCAAAATATACGTCCCAAAGAAAAAAAAAGCATATTCAACAAATGGTTCTGGATGTTGACATGTAGAAGAATGCAAATGGATCCATATCTATCGCCATGCACAAAACTCAAGTCCAAATGGACCAAAGACCTCAAGATAAATACATCCACAATGGGCATCATAGAAGAGAAAGTGGGAAATACCCTTGAACCCATAGGTATAGGAGACCACTTCCTAAATAGAACACCAGTAGCACAGACACTGAGAGCAACAATTAATAAATGGGACCTCCTGAAACTGAGAAGGTTATGTAAAGCAAAGAACACAGTCAACAAGACAAGACGGCTCCCTACAGAATGGGAAAAGATTTTCACCAACCCCACATCTGACAGAGGGCTGATCTCTGAAATATACTTACAAAGAACTCAAGAAACTAGAAATCAAACTACCAAATAATCCAATTTAAAAATGGAGTAGAGGGGGCTGGAGAGATGACTCAGCGGTTAAGAGCACTGACTGTTCTTCCAGAGGTCCTGAGTTCAATTCCCAGCAACCACACGGTGGCTCACAACCATCTGTAATGAGATCTGGTGCCTTTTGCTGGCACACAGGCAGAAGACTGTATACATAATAAATAAATAAAATGGAGTAGAGACACTCAATGGGCAGAAAGACACTTAAGGAAATGCTCAACATCCTTAGTCATCAGGGAAATGCGAATCAAAACCACTCTGAGATTCCATCTTACACCGATCAGAATGGCTAAGATCAAAAACACAATGACAGTTTAAGCTAGAGAGGATGTGGAGAAAGGAGACACTCCTCCACTGCTGGTGGGAGTACAAACTTGTGGCCAATAGCTAGTAGTCCTGCAACAATAGCTGATTAGGAATGGTCAGTGGGTCTCCAAAAACATCCCAGTGGGAGCAAGGAGGTATAGATGAGCGAGGCAGAGAAGTAAGACCCAGGGGTCTGCAATTCCTAGCATCCCAGGAATTCAGAGAGGGATGATTTGGAGATGACACAGGCTCCTCAGTGATTTGCCAAACACAGAGCAGGGCCCAAGGGCTCTGAGCCTGAGAGAGACAGTCACCTGGTACCATAACTTTGAGAAAAGGCAGACAGCAAGGAGAGGACTGTGCTGGAGAAAGAAATCCTCACGTCCAGGGAGTGGTCAGGGGCGGATGGCCCCACCAGAGACCCAGCTGCCAACACTGAATGGAAGGCAAAGCATCTAGTGAACAAGAAAGCAAAATCGTTGCAGGTGGAAAAGAGTGGATCTATTGAGGGTGGAGCAGGTGGGCAGGGGTCCCAGCATGAAGTGATCCCCTTTTTGTGGACTCTGCCACTTAACAAACGTGCTGCACAAAACAGAGTTAATAATGAAAGAAGTCTATTGGGGGAGGGGGAAGTGGAAGAGTGAAAGGGTGATACCTCCTTCCACCTATCAGGATCGCTGGCAGAATGTTGCAAAGGTCCCGTAAAATATCAAGGGAAGCAGATTTTTGGTAAACTTATTCCCATGAGTGAGGCCGAATGAGATCCAATGGCTGTTTTTCAAGCAAGCATCATAAGAAAGACACACACTGGTGATTCGTCAATCAAGGGACAGGAGCTGAAGTACCCAAGGGTCCAAGACAAGCACAGGTAGCCCAGCAAGCTGCCATACAAAGGGCGGGGACCAAGGGCTGTGAGCCTCAAAGAGCCAAGGTTGCTGGTACCATGACTTAATGAGACCAAAAGGGGAAAAACCATGCTCCAGAGACTAGTGGTCACTCTTGTGAAATAGCCATAGGAGAAGAGGTGTGGCTCACCAATCATGTTGGGTTTAGATGGAGGGACCCAGTGATCTGGAGAAGCAAGGCTGTCGTATGTGGATTGGGTTCTAGGATCCCATCACGCCTCAAACTGCAGGAGGAAGCTCCATCTTTCCCTATCAGAGAAACAATGTTGCAATTTTTAAAATTCCAAAAGAGAAGTCATGTCATACAACAGGTTTATTAGAAGAGGAGAGAGGAGAGAGAGGGAGGCAGAGACCCACCCATGGGGACATGAGTGGGAAGAGAAAGAGAGGGAAGGAGAGAAAGATAAGAAGTGGGCAGAGCCCTTTTAAAAGGGAACATAGTGAATGCACACAGGTGGTGCTCTTAGTGGCTGCAGCTGAGGTTGTATCCTGCCAGAACCCCAAGGACAGTACAGTATAGATGCATGAATACTAACACCGCCTGCTTCTACCTCCCTCTTGCTAGGATTAAAGGCATGTAATACCACACCTAACTCAAACCTTTCTTGTTCTGAGTTCCCAAAGTCTACCTCCAGATATAGCACACACAGTAGGCCTTGAAAACCACTGGCTGGGGCCAAGCATGGGAACACACAGTTGTAACCCCAATAGTTGGGAGGCTGAGGGAGGAGGCTCTCTAGTTTAAGGTCAACTTGAGCTACGTAGTGAGACCTAGTCTAAGAACAACAACAAAAATGCATTATCTAGATAAATAGATGGCATAAAAGATGAACCCCCTGGTTGGGCAGTGGTGGCACATGCCTTTAGTCCCAGCACTCGGGAGGCAGAGGCAGGCAGATCTCTGTGAGTTCGAGGCCAGCCTGGTCTACAAGAGTTAGTTCCAGGACAGCCTCCAAAGCCACAGAGAAACCCTGTCTCGAAAAACTAAAAAAAAAAAAAAAAAAAAAAAAAAAGATGAACCCCCTTTCCCCAGTGTTGGTGCTGCAAGCACTCACCACATTGTTGAATTGATGAGTGGTTGAATGTATCCCTAGATTACATAGAGTAATTGTACTTTGTGCTTCTTAACCAGAAGCCATAGGTCCTTAGTTTAGTGTACTAGGACTCGAGTGAAACTGTAAATGGA